AAAAAAAAAAAAAAAAAAAAAAAGAGTCTCATGCTCTACCAACTGAGCCTGCCAGGCAGTTTACAGTAACTTTAATTAAAATCAGAGCAATTATAAGTTCTATAAGTCAAACATGTCAAAATGATTAAATGGCCCAAGACTGTGATTTGCTTAAGAAGGACATCAGAAAAGGAAAGCTTCAAAGTTTATAATTACAATATTATAATTCAATTTTGCACCAGCTAGACGTGAGGAAAAGCTATACTTGCTTATAGTAGAACAAAATATGCCATTTCGGTTAAGAAAATGTCCTATCAGATTTAACATTTAAAAGTTATTTTTAAAAACCAAATGGAGCTTTATAAAATACTTCAAGAAAACACTTAAAGGAATATACTGATATTCAACAATTTCCACAATTCTGCACTTTAGTTTTAGTTAAATTCCAGCTCCCAAGAATATCAAATATATGTTTTCTCTAAAGAGACAGGAAAATAGATTGCCAAAATAAATACTGATAAGGTAACTCAATTCCTTCCTCTTGCAATGACCATTAACTAGTCCTTCTTTGGAAACAAAACCCTAATAAAATGCAGAAAATTATGAAATTACTTCCAGACAACAAGTTGCCTGACTAAAAAGCACAGGGTTTGTCCCCATATTGACTTAGTTACGAGTGGGTCACCCTTAACGGTAGCACTTCAAGAGGTAAATGCAAACTCCAGTATTTTCTAGGTCCTCAACAAAGTAAGAAAGCATCTAGCTCCTTTCACAAAATCCACCTCAACCCTACAGTGGCAACAGTCTAAAAGGATGACTAGGGACCTTAATTTTCAGTTCCTTACTTGGTTGAGATGTACACAGGTATCTACTGCTGCCTTTGGCTGATTACATTTCAAAAATGCGGTCACTGCTTGGTCACACATTCCAACCCTCACAAACATTTGTGCTATTTCCTGTAAGGACAGAACAATATTATCAGATCTCACAGACCAAGGAAATCACTTATAGTTTAATTTACAAAACTCCATAGGGACATACAAATATTAAATTTACGGGTGGTTACAGTAATTTTTCGTTGCAACATATGCAGGGGCAGAGGCTACAAACCAGAAAGGAAGCTAAGGCATCACTGTCTACGAAACCGGTGCTTCACTGGCTCCGGCTGCAGATCTACTTTTTAACCAGGTCCGGAACGTCCGGAACTCGGGTCCTCTAGTAGCTAGGGCACAGAAACGTCAAGCTGGGGAACAAACCCCATACTGGTGTTGAAAAAAACATTTAAGGCAACTGATGGTATAACAATGGTAATGTTAGAGGCTTAAGGAAAATCTCACATTCACAGAGCTCTCTAATACCTCTCTGAAGAAACGCCCCAGATAGGCCATTCATTAATTCAGGAAGCCAGATCCCAAACAGAGCTCCCTCCAAGGGTGGTGGGAAGGAAGGAGAACCACAACACAAACCCACCATACCCATACTGGCTCACTCTCCATTTTCAGAAAATCAATTTTTTTTTCCTTCTGAATATCTAATTGGCAAGAGTTTTCCTCTCCCTACCCTTACTTCTTTTTTTTTTTAATTTTTTAAACATTTATTTATTTTTTGAGAGAGAGAGAGAGAAAGAGCACAAGCAGGGAAGGGATAGAGAGAGAGAGAGACACAGAATCGGAAGCAGGCTCCAGGCTCTGAGCTGTCAGCACAGAGCCTGTGATCAGGTCATAATCTCACAGTTTGTGGGTTCAAGCCCCACGTCGGGCTCTGTGCTGACAGCTCAGAGCCTGAAGCCTGCTTCTGATTCTGTGTCTCCCCCTCTCTTTCTGCCCCTCCTCTGTTTGTGCTGTCTCTCTCTCTCTCTCTCTCAAAATAAATAAACATTAAAAAAAAATAATAAAATATTTTGGGAAAATCATAAAAGTATGTTTTAGATCCAACTATCTTTTTAAAAGTAATGTTTAGGGGCACCTAGATGGCTCAGTGAGTGTCTAACTTTGGCTCAGGTTATGATCTCATAGTTCATGGGTTTGAGCCCAATATCAGGCTCTCTGCTCTCAGCACAGAGCCTGCTTTGGATCCTCTGTACCCCCCTCCTCTCTGCCCCTCCCCATTCACATTCTCTCTCTCTCTCTCTCTCTCTCTCTCTCTCTCTCTAAAATAAAACTAAGCATTTAATTAATTAATTAAAGTAATGTTTATATTTTCTGGTTACAAAGTAATAGACTGTAATGGTAAATAAAAATTAGAAAGCACAAAAGTTACTTACAATCTTACTACCCATAGGAAATCTCTCTCAATAGTCTGATGTCATTTCCTAACATCTGTGTCTTAGGAATCTATATGTATGTGTGAGTTGGTGTATGTATTGTGTTCATACTATATATAGTTCCGTTCTCTGTATTTTTCAATTAAACATTATGTAAATTTTACCATATTAAAAACTCCTTCAAAAACTTGATTTAAAATTTGCAATACTAAAAAAAACATTTGCACTACTAAAATGTTTTAAGCATTTTAATTATTTAATTATTACTATAGCTATAATAACTTAATATTTACTCAGTAATAATACTATTCTGGATATCCTACAGCAATACTCTTTTCTGCATCATCAGACACACCTAACAGATGACATTAATGCAGGACACACTGTCCCGATCTCCAAGGTTGTAACTAATTTCAGTTTCTTTCCTACTCAAGAAAACACAGGACTGAGAATAAAGTACATGAAAATGCCATTATTACAGGGATAATGGCTCTAATTCACAAGAGACAAAACTGAATTATCAGAATTCTATCATCTACTAATTAACAAACAAAAATTTTGTGGTAGAACTCACAACCGATACATGTCCCGACCCTGCAGTTGAGAGATGCTAACTCTACAGGTACTATACAGCTCAATGATTTACATTTTACATAAAACAAATAAAATATAAACTCACTAACGTCATTCAAGAATTAAGAGGCTTAAAAAGGACATTCAAAACAAATTTCCAGAGAACTCTGTTTTTTTCTTTTTTAACACTACATACTTTGTTAACATAACCTAATAAAAGTCAAGCTATCTTTTTAAACCTTTATTACAGCAAATTTCAAACATACATACACACACACTAATCCCCAGACCCAGCTCAGATAATTTTGAAGCAAACCTCTGACAAGAGATTTTAACTGTAAATATTTCATGTGTCAGCTAACTTTTAAAAGCAATTTTATAAAACTGACAATACTATAGGAGATTGTGAACATGTTAAAGTAGTGGGAATATGACTAATTTTCCCTCTATTTTCAAGCAGTCTGTAATATTGATATATTGTTTTAACAATTAAAAGTATCATTCCACATTTAAGAAACTATGAGATTATAGATTTTAAATTTTCTTGTGGCAGAAGATATTTCCTGACTATAACACAAAACCTAACAAAAATAACCTAACAAATCTAAAAACTAAAATTTTTAATACCCACTGGAAGCAACTTGTGGTTTTCTGGAAGTGAACTGGCAAGATTCTCCAATCCCTCATAATCTTCCAACATATAATAGCATTCAGCTAAGCGTTCCTGGTTCCGGCCTTGTACATAATATTGTACAGCATTCAACCTATGGGGGAAAAAAAAAGAACAATTTCTAAAACTAATGTGAATCTCCTGATAAATAAACAGTCTCATTAAAAATTCTCATTAGAATTACTAGTATTACTCTAGTTACCATCTTCAGTTACAGCATGTCTTTGAAGTGTATAAACTGGGGGGATAAAATCTAAAGACTCTGAAGCACATTTTAGTTGCAACATTCTTTGGCTATTAAGAGAAATTGTTGTAATTGGATATACAGTTGTGCTTCCAAACACGGACATAAATAAGTATATTGATCCAAATGAAAACCTAAGAATAAAAGCCAATGACTTCTGAAAATAATCTACAAGAAAACAAGAAAACATAAAATACTTTTCCTTTTTTCAGAAATAAATCATATGTCTCTGAAATGCACACTGTGGTCTTAAACAGTAGAAACCTGCCTGAAACTAAGCACACGTTTGTGAGTTTGGAAACTCCGAAGTTTTATAACATTTATCAAGGATCTCTTGCTCCCCATTGGGAATTTAAATCTGCTTGAATTTAAGAATCCAGGGGGCCGGCCTTCAATGTCCCCAGCTTTGTGCCAATGGGAAGTACTCAGGCAGCTACCATATCAAGTGCTACATGAACAGATGAAGAGGTTCACATAGGTTGCCTACCACTTTTGCCGATCAGCGAAGTAGTCTCCGATGGCATTGTGGGCTTGTTCAAGAAGACTGTCATCTGCATCACCAGATCCAGTTTTCAAGAGCTGGAGTACTCTAAACCAATCTCCCAATTTCAGCCGGAGGCCGATAGCAAGATCTCTGTAAACAACAGTATACATTCATTCACTTGACAAATACTTGTGAAGTGCCTACCCCATGCTAGGGTCAATTCCGGGGTACTGAGAATACCCAGCAGTGAACAGACGGACAAGTTACCTCCCCAAACATTTTAGAAATTTGACCAGGAAAGAGGCAATGGGGAGAACTTGAAATCAGGAAAAGGAAATACCTTCCTGCCTTTTATTTTCCTAGCCTTCCAATTTTCCTAGCAAAATAATGATTTAAATAATAATAACTTCTTTTGATCAATTATTGAGACATGATCAGGCTTATTTAAAAATCATACATATACTGGGGCACCTGGGTGGCTCAGTCGGTTAGGCATCCGACTTCGGCTCAGGTCACAATCTTGTGGTCGCGAGTTCGAGCCCCGCGTCAGGCTCTGTGCTGACCGCTCAGAGCCTGGAGCCTGTTTCAGATTCTGTGTCTCCCTCTCTCTGACCCTCCCCCCATTCATGCTCTGTTTCTCTCTGTCTGAAAAATAAACATTAAAAAAAAAAAAAAAAACCATACATATAAACACATATTTGGTTTTATCTTTCTTTTCAGGGCTTAAGCAGTATTAGGGATCTCCTTGAAGTACAAATAATATTGGGGCGCCTGGGTGGCGCAGTCGGTTAGGCGTCCGACTTCAGCCAGGTCACGATCTCGCGGTCCGTGAGTTCGAGCCCCGCGTCAGGCTCTGGGCTGATGGCTCAGAGCCTGGAGCCTGTTTCCGATTCTGTGTCTCCCTCTCTCTCTGCCCCTCCCCCGTTCATGCTCTGTCTCTCTCTGTCCCAAAAATAAATAAACGTTGAAAAAAAAAAAAATTTAAAAAAAAAAAAAAAAAGAAAAAAAGAAAAAGGAAACTGCCTCCAAATTTCAATACATAAATTAATGTAAGGGCCACGTGGAATATCCAGGTTGTAACTAAACTGAGATTATTTTCTGAAAGAAGTGGCATGACACATTTAGTCTACTGTACATTCCTCATTTGTACAGAAGAAAAGCATGAATGCCAGAAGTACTCCAGAATGCCTGTACCTTCATTACTCACCTTCTGTCCATATCAAGATACATTCTTTCTGCCTCTTCAAACCTGCCGAAGTAGGCAGCAACTTCGGCCTGCTTCATGGACTCACTCTGTAGATTGCCCAGGCGCTTCACGAACTTAATGCCTTGGTAATCTTTGCAGCGCACAAACGCTTGCTCTGCCGTGTGCAGATCTAGTTTCTGAAGAGCTGCTTCAGCCAGTAGGCGCCTTTATTAAAACAAGAAACAGAAAAGCTTATTGCCATTACTGTTAAACAAGTCTTGAACCCGAATTTAATTATTATACCTGTTGTTTCTAGTTAAACATGGTGGGAAGTGATTACTTTAACATATTTATGTATGTTTTACTTAATATTATGCTTATTTTGAGTACTTCCAAATCTGAATTTAATTTCTGTATTTTAAAAAGAAGAACAAAGGGGTGCCTGGGTGGCTCAGTCACTTAAGCATCACTTCAGCTCAGGTCATGATCTCACGATTCATGGATTCCATCCCTGCGTTGGGCTCTGTGCTCACAGCTCAGAGCCTGGGGCATGCTTTGGATTCTGTGTCTCCCTCTCTTTCTGCCTCTTCCCCACTCACTCTCTGTTTCTCTCTCAAAAAATAAATAAAAAACAATAAACATTTTTTTTTAAATAAAAAGAAGAACAAGAATGCAAGTCTACCCCCATGAAGGCTACCATGAGAGTGGGAGACAATAGAGCTGAGACTTTAAATGCATACACCAGACATTTTGGGAGGATTTTTTATTTTTAAATACCAAAGTCGGGGGTGTGGATTGTCCTCAATGAATTGAGATGCATCTTCAATTCCAACTTTCTCAATCAATGCTCGACTATCTCGCAAGGACCGGATCTCAAAGTTAATTATATAATCCTTGTTTGGGTGTTCTGGATTCTAAAAATAAAGATGAAAAGAAATGCAAATACCTGCCGTTAGAGTATGTGTTTCTTTTTTACAGTAAAATACATGCACACACACAAACAACTGTATCATGTTGTAAACCAAAATGGGAAGAAAAGATATTCCAATGTGTGGGTCTTTGAGTTATCTGGAAAACAGCCACAATCCACAGGTGAAGTTCCTCCTGAGGTTACTAGGCTGCCCACAGGGAAAAGAGGACAGTGGAAGAAGGGTTGTCTTACAATCATACAGCCTTGTTTCCCTCAGCTTAACTCTCATGTTCCCAGGGGCTACTATTCTCTTCTCGCCCAAAGTGCTGCAGAAAAGACATGTGCAGGGGCCTCTACCAGCTCACTCCTTAATCTACTCTCTCCTTGCCGGGGGGAAATGAGACAGTTGTCCCCTGTGCTGTTGGGCAGCAGACAAGCAAATAAAAGAAAGAGCTAGTTTTCATTATCTCTTTCCTTTTGTTAATTCAGCTAGCTGACCCCTCCAAAATTTTTTTTTCTGAAGGCCAGTCTTGCAGGAAATAGCTAGCTAATGGCCAAGAAAATAAAACAGTTATAATGAACTCACCAATATCCTACATATTCCAAGTAAAGAAAAAGTGAAGCCCAGGAGAAAATTAGAGCCCCCCGCCCCCACATACAGAAAACAGCAATGGCTCCCAGAACTAAGCTGCATCTGGCCCTCCCCACCTGCAACTAAACCACTGTACTTAGAAACTGAAAAGTTCTCCCAGAAATCCCTGGCACAAAGTAGAAAGTAGTATGGAAAATGCATGAGGTTTGGATTCAAACAGATCTAAGCTTAGATCCTAATTCCTCAGCCTACTGGCTATGTAACAACTCTTTCTAAAACCTGCTGTACCCCCGTCCTGTGCCCACCCAGGAAGCCAAGGCCATCCTCCCCAAATATAAACCCAATCACATCACTCTCCTGCTTTACTCCCCCAGTGACTCCAGAAGGCAGTCCAAACTCCACAGAAGGCACACAAGGTCTCGTATGACTGGGGCCAACCTCCCCCACGACTGTTCCCCTTCAGTTCCGCCACTGCTACCAATTACATACACCAGCTTTGAAGCCAGACGGCTTGGAGTGAAATCATTCACGTCTCTGCCTACTGCCAACTGGGTGTCACTGGCAAATGAGTTTCTCTCTCCAAGCCTCAGATTCTTCATCTGAACAAATGAAGATAATAATCAGACTGGCTTCCTAGAATTGTGAGGATTAAATGAGATAACACGTATCAAACGTTTAGCACAATGCCAGCCTTGTACTACTCACGTGGTTCACAGTCTCAGAACTGTACCAGCGCTCTCTCCCCACAGACCTCTGACAGACGCACCTGCCCACTGAACTGCGCCAGCCCCGCCCCTTTGCTGGTTGCTGAATTTCTTGTCTACCTCCCCAACCCCTCTACTTGAGGCCAGGAACTTGCCTTACTGACTGCCAATAAACATCTGCTGAGTCAGTGAACAGACAGACTTTTGGTAAATCATTTTACTCACGAAGAGCTTTCTCCACTAAAAATGAGGTCTGTGTATTATCTACCGGGCACAGTTGTAATGACAAATGAAGAGTGACATGCAATGACAAATGACAATTGAACACCTCCTATGAAGGCACTTTAGTGAATGTAAATTTAGTAAATTCCCTTCCTTTTCCTTTCGTATTCCTTCAGCTCTAGTGCTCCAATAAATTTCTCATGGGGGAAAAAAAAACAGGCTCACAAACAAAGAGCTTTAAAGGGCTACAATTTACATATCAAACCAAAACATGAAACCATGCTACAAATTGCAACTAACTTCAGAAATGTAAAACTCTATTAACCCAATTCCAAAAAATATATGAAGTATACAGAAAAAAGTAAATGCTTTGTATAAAATGAAAGTAAAAATGTTTTTAATATATTCTTAGAGAAAGAAATTCTCAAAAGATAGTCAATGAAGGCCAAAGTAGGGGTTCAAAAAGATAGCTGGAATCAGAACTGGATTATTTTATAAAGCCTGAAAAAAAAATAGGAGGATAGTGGCCCTGCAAACAAAGTTACTCAAGTACCTGTCTTAGAGCTCAAAAGAACAAAGTAAATTAATTGTCAAGTATTTCTTCTCTTTGTTATTGACATAAAAACAATGACAACCACAACTAGCCACCATTTTTTGAGCTCTTGATCCAAACACTGTGGTAAGTGCTTTTCACAGATTACCTTATACAATAACAATCCTGTTAGATAGGAGCCATTATTATCCACATTTTATAGAGGAAAAAATTGAAAAAAATAATTGAGGCTTATAAACAAGAAAGGAAAATGAAGTTCAAAAAAGATGAAGGAACCCGTCTAAAAGTGGTACAAGTGACCAAGCAGGGTCAATCCACATTCCTAACAGGAACACCACACTGCCTGGGCATAAAATAAAACAAATCTCAGTCAAGCCAGCAACAAAAATACAATTGTTTTTTAAGAATTACCTTCAATATCTCATCCAAAAGAACAGATTTAATTTCTAAATCCTCAAAGATACAAATATATCCAGAAGTCTGAATGGGCTCCTTTAAAGATAAAGACAAATGTTATGCTTAATTGTACAAAATTTTCCTTCCTTTAACATATGACTTTGTATTTTATTTTCAACATTTTCAAACCAACAGAAAATTAGAAAGAATGTCATTAACATCCATATGTCCATCACCTAAATATTATTAACATTTTGCTAAATATGCTTCAGTCGATTTTTTGGATGAAGTCTTTTAAAGTAAATCAAGTAAAATGTATAGACATCATGACATTTCACCCCTAAATATTTCAGTACATATCTCTAAAAGATAAGGATGTTCTTTAAGTGGCCACATTACTATTATTACACCTCATATAATTAATATTAATTCCCTAATAGCATCTAACATCAGTCCAATTTTTCTCAATTAATCCAAAAATGCCTTATACCACTTGATAATTCTTACTCATGCAATGCAACATTAAATTTAATTCTTAATAAAACCAACAAACACTACAGTTGTATGCAAGTACATATATCAAAGAAATCTTACCCCATACTGCAAAGTCCATCCTCTATAAAATTAGCCAGAGAGCATTCCTGATAGATTTTCTACATAAGATTTAATTTGCCAAGATGTAAATACACAAGTCTGTTACAGGTCTGTCTCTTTTCTTAGTATTACGCAAGCTTATAGAAATAAAGTGTAGCAAATGCATATTATAATGTAAAGTAGCTGCCCTAAATCTCTAGTAGAAAAAGGAGATATAAATATTATATAAATAACAAGAAATAAACTCTCACTATACTTACTACCTCCAAGAGCACTATGAAAAGGATAAGATAATGTCTGGTAATGGAAATAATACCAGAATGTAATTTTTAATGTTTATTTATTTTTTGAGAGAGAGAAAGACCAAGCTGAGTCAGCTTGGGGCAGAGAGAGAGGGAGACACAGAATCCAAAACAGGCTCCAGGCTCTGAGCTGTCAGCACAGAGCCCGACACGGGACGCGAGCCCATGAACCGCAAGATCATGACATAAGCCAAAGTCGAACATTCAACTGACTGAGCCACCCAGGCACCCCTGGAATGTGTTTTTAATGTGTGTGTGTGTGTGTGTGTGTGTGTGTGTGTGTGTGTGTGTGTATCATGAAATAGAAAGTAAGCAAAATTCAAAGGAAATAATGTATCAAATTTATAACTCTGATACTTAGTTCTTCATGTGATAGAAACTACAGGATGATACTTAAAAAGATGGAAATTAGAGGTAAAAATTGAATCAGATTTTTAAAAATTGAATCATATTTAGTTTTAGTATGTCAAGGTTTAAGAATGGGGCTCTGTGTGCACATTATATGCATTTGAGTCTTAAAGTGGCATTTTCTCTTAAAAAGTAAAAATTGTTGGGGCACCTGGGTGGTTCAGTCGCTTAAGCATCCGACTTTAGCTCAGGTCATGATCTGACCATTCATGAGTACAAGCACTATGTCCAGCTCTGTGCTGACAGCTCAGCCTGGACCCTGCTTCAGATTCTGTGTCTCCCTCTCTCTCTGCTGCCTCCCCTGTTCACGCTCTGTCTCTGTCTCTCAAAGATAAGTAAATTTTACCAAATTTCTTTATTTCCTCAAAAAAAGTTGTATTATGTAAAGGCAAGTATGAGCAATGATCACCAGAAAGAATCAAGGATAAAATTTAATTCAAGAATTAAATATATAACATACTTCTTATAAATTATAGAGGCCTTTCATATATTTTAATTATTTGAATATAACATGTATCCAAATATACCTGTATAAAAATGTTTATCATTAGAAAATTGCTTTATTTTTGACTAGACAAAAAACAAAGCAAGGTAGCCAAAAAATAAAGTCATAAAAGATGATGTGTGGATAAAAAGTTATACCAAAAATAAAGAGAAAGGGAGAAAATAAAGATTGGAAGGAAGGTTAAAAACTAAGAGTTTCGAAAATAATCTATGATTATTGGCGCACAAGTAAATATGCAAATATATTTATATTATTCGGATTTTAAAAAGTCAACTTCTACTTGAATTATCTCATCTAATTCTCATTATTTTCCAAAATTCACTAGATATCCATCCATATTTCCATTGAATATGAAGTTTTAGACCAGTGGTCAACAAAAGCAGGATACACTCCCCTACTCAGTACATAAGAAATTTATTTTTATCAAGAAAGTATTTTAAACTTCACTAATCTATACTGTATTAAGTACTCTTACCCAGTACATATATCAGAAGGTCTCAGAACATGTACAGTATAACAGGTATCTTGAGCGCTTATCCATTTAATTGCAGCATACTGTGACATACCGAAGTTTGTATATACCTAGTTAAGCGGATTCAGGGATTACAGTCTCTAATTTTGTGCTCTCATAAATTGGACAAGTGGTTTAAAAATCTCCCTGGAAAGAATACGTGAATGAAGTGGAATACTGGAATGCAAGGACAAGCAAACAAGACGAGGCAGAACAGTCACCCCCTTTACTCCTGGCACAAACTCTGGGGTTAGCCACATTAGAAAGTGAAAACAATCACATTCGAATCAGATCTGACAGAAAGTCAGCTAAACAACTGAAAATTATCAAGAAGACTATTTGAAACACAAGACTTTACAAAGTTAATAATTCAAGTGTGCACGATGCTCAGACACTAGCTAATGGCAGTGAGAACTATAGCACCCTGACATTTCAAAATAAAGTTCACTTCAGCCTGTTAAATGTATTTTTTTCCTCATTCTTTCAGAATTTCTATTTTAGGGGCATGATTCATACAGTACTTGTATTAATATGGTAAGTCACATATATCATTTCTAAATAAATAATTATGCATAGATGAAGATATGGATTCAAAAATTTGGAAACTTCTTGTTTGGTAAAGAAGTGTATAAAAATGAGCTGAGTGGTAAAAATATGAGATATGAAAGGAATATGAATATGAAGTAGTACCAATGAAAGGGAAGATCCAAGAAAAAGACTAGAAAAGCTGAATTGGTACCTTTAGAGGGTCACTGGAGATAAAAATGACCAAGCAGGGAATATCAACATTAAATACTCATTTCCAAATTCTCAGAAAGTGTGCTTTATCAGTGAATTACAACTTCACACACAAATGGCACCCGTTTTTCATCTATAATCTGAAGAAAGGTTTACCACTTAAAGGAAGGTATGAATCTAGAATTCCTAACACTCAAATGGACAAAAATGGATTCAGTATTAACTGTCAAATAACAGCTTATCTCCTGAATTGTAAAAGAATACTATGCCCTAAAGGAGCTCCAGTAAATCCTGTTTTAAAGAGTACGTCCTTACAGAATCAGTCAATGAGCAGCCAAAGAAATGAACAGCAGAGTAACTAACCAATAACTAACCAAGCAGGGACAACAGCCAGCCAGTGTCCTCATGAATGAACAGCACAGCACAGCATGACTTATAAAGAAATCCAGTCAGTGGTGAGGTTGAAAGAAATCCATCTAGCTTTAAATCCAACAGAAATTGAACTACTTGCCAAGCCTGAAAATGACTCTAAAAAAGGAGGGGAGGGGAAGGCTATTCTGTTAAAACTACTCAAGAAGCACTTTGCACCAGGCCAAGACGTCCCCTGGTGCTAGACTGAGCGTGTGTGCTACACACACGTTACAAACAGCCAGGAACAACACTCGCCCAGGCATATGATTTCTGACTTAGTACGCATGGGGACACGGATGGAAAAAGGACCCTAACATTCAAAAAGTATTCTCCCATCCTCAAGGTTGGCCTGTGGTTACCTGTCAAATTTTTACACTTACTTTGTGGCAAGTGTCAAATTTCCCTTGGAGCCTTGAAAGAAGCCCCTGCTTACAAGTTAAATGCAGCAGCCCTGAATGCCTTTCCTTTAAACCCTACCCAGGGGCTAAAAATTACAAAGATCCTTAAAATTCCTGACAAAGCCTTTGAGAACAATTCACATGAGGTCATTTCCCAGCCCAAAGATCCTGAGTAGCACTAAAATGGGGAAATGTGAAAATAATTTAAGATATTAAAGGGACAGTGTAATAGTTTACCACTAAATAAATCACTCTAGAAGATTTTTGGCAGCTCAGTGGTCCAAGCATGCAATTTCTTTCCAAAAAGGAAACCGCAAACCCATACATCAATTAATGATATCTATCAACTTATTTATTATTATTTACATTTGTTGGGTGCAACAACCATACAGAAAATTCCCAACTGGAAACCATTAATTATTCAAAAATTACATAAAAATTTATCTCAATGATGCTTTGATTAGGCTACCACTCAAATTACATTGAATTTCCTAAACACAAATGCTAACAGTTGGTCCAGAGCAGACTGACAGGGAAGTTCTAAACTTAAAAATTAGCTGATGTGGGGCACCCCAGTGGCTCAGTCGGCTGAGTGTCCGACTCTTGACTTCAGCTCAAGTCATGATCTCACAGTTTGTAGGTTCGAGCCCTGTATCGGGATCTGCGCTGGCAGTGTGGAGCCTGCTTGGGATTCTCTCTCTGCCCCTCCCCTGCTCTCTCTGTCAAAATAAATAATCTTAAAAAAAAAACAATTAGCTGATGTGAGCCACAAGTAGAAAATCAAAATATAACTTTAAAATTAGTGAGCAAGTGGCTTCCTGATACTCCAGAGAGGACAGATTAATCAGTCCACACTTGCATATTCATAAAATCATCAGAGTGAGAAAGACCAGGATTAGTGGCTGACAGAGGTCATGTGAACATAAATAAGGAAGCACAGATTAAGGTGGACAGGGAGGCAAAGGAGAATAAAAGCCTACACTTCTTTGGTTAGGTTGTTTTAAGCAATTTTGGTAAATACTACTACTGATTTTCTTTTTTTCTTAACTTTGACAAGGAAAAAATAAAGACTATGTATTAGAGACCATGGTTCCATCTTTTAAAAAGTACAGATAAATGCTTAGGAAGTGCCTTTCAGAGAAAGCAGAGACTTTTTAAAGGATGAGTATTATTCCCACTTATGACCAAATATTTTACAAATCCACAGATCTGTTTCTATTTATTTTCAGAAATTTACGCCTCCAACACCAACAAACCTCTTAAGGAAACAAAAGGGAAATAGCCAGGTTTTCACATCTGGCTCATTATTTATGTACTGCTAATACTCATTTCTTGTGTTTACCTCAGGATCCAAGTTTCTGAAAACATACATTCTTGTCTTCTCCATCATCGCAAACAAATCTGGATTATCCTTGGCCCACTTCATATCCCAGACATCTTTACGCTCCAAGTTTAACAACTCGCCAATGACCTGCTGTCCTGTGCTGTCTGTTACCCGAGCGTCCAAGTCAAAGAAAGTTAGAACTCCTGAGATATCTATGATAGCAAGACGACTACAAATATTGAAATTGGAGAAAGGAAACAAGATGGTAAAATGACAATCAGCAATCACGAATATAATTACCTATTACCCTTCTTGTGCAAAATCAATTCATCCAAATTTGGGAAGAAGGCAGAAATGACTTCAAGGGGCACCTGGGTGGCTTAGTCAGTTAAGCGTCCGACTTCGGCTCAGGTCATGATCTCATGGTTCGTGAGTCCCACACTGGGCTCTGTGCTGACAGCTCAGAGCCTGGAGCCTGCTTCAAATTCTGTGTCTCCCTCTCTCTCTGACCCTCCCCTGCTCATTCTCTGTCTGTCTGTCTCTCTCAAAAATAAGTAAACATTTTTAAAAAATTAATAAAAAAAGAAAAAGAAAAAAGAAATGGCTTTAAAAAAATAACTGGTTTTAAAAATTTCTTAAATTTGATAGAAGACATAGACTACTCTCCATTTTGCTTCCTTGTGAGGAAAAAGTATCCAAAGGAATTAAAGCAACTGGCACGCAAACAATTTAAAGTATTACATTTGAATTTCTATATTTTGCCAATTAGAGAAAAACATCTAAATACCGTATAATAAATAAACATTTAAATATAAATATAGTACAGTAAAACCACACTGAACCATAGACAAGTTTAAAACAAATACACATCTTTGTATTTATTACATAAATCCAACAATCCAAATTGATAACTTCTAAGCCCAGCATCTATATGAAGAGAATTTTCAGACTTACCTAGAATTGCAATTCAAGGATAACTGGTAGGCTCGACAGTTAAGGGAATACTTTTGAATCAAACCAACATTAGGAAGACTGTATCTCTGAATGGTGCCAGATTCACGACCCTGTGGAAATTACTTTTGATTACTAAAGCATATTTACAAAATAACATTAAATTACAACTACAGATCTCTCTATATGTTCATACATTTGTTTCCAAACCAAAGTGAATGTGTCCTAACTAATTCCCAATTCTGATACTAAATCACGTTACCGAGTACATATTTATCTCCTAATTTAATTAAACCCCTTTAAAAGTGGTTGAAGGTGATGTAATTTTTTTTCATGCAGCATTCAAGAAAGAAGTCAGAAACTTAGCTGTTCAGTAATACATAACTCCTTATATCACAAGGAAGAAATAACAAGGGTGACTTACAGTTGTTGTCTAGGTTAATATTTAAGGTACATTAAAAGCTAAAATATAAAGCACTTATTGCATTAAATTTCACCATGAATGAAAAATCAATATAAGATCACCATATGAAACAGTGGTTTCTGAAAGTCCACGTTTTTATCCTATAGCCATCTACCTGATACTAGTTAGTGGCAAATGGAGATGATCAGAAGCAGTGATACAATGAGTATTAGTTTAAATGTGTTAGAATGGCTAAAATTAACTCAGGAAAAAACAGATGTGGTGAGGCTGCAGAGAAAGGGGAACTCTTTTGTGCTGCTGGTGGGAATGCAAACTGGTGCAGCCACTCTGGAAAACAGTATGGAGGTTCCTCAAAAATTTTTTAAAGATTAAAAATAGAGCTACCCTACAACCCAGCAGTTGCACTACTAGGTATTTATCCAAAGGATACAAAAAGACTGATTTTAAGGGGCACATGCACCCCAATGTTTATAGCAGCGCTATCAACAATAGCCAATTATGGAAAGAGCCCAAATGTCCATCTACTGATGAATGGATAAAGTAGATGTGTTATAAGACTGACACTTCTCCTGGTCAGAAGGGGCCCACGGCCTGCCAGATGAGGTAGGTCAATAAACTGTTCTATGAATAGTGGAGGAAAAAAAAAAAAAAGATGTGGTGTATATATATACAATGGAATATTACCTGGTGATCAGAAAGACTAAAATCTTGCCATTTGCAACAATGTGGAGGTAACTAGAATGTATAAAGCTAAGCGAAATAAGTCAGTGAGAGAAAGACATTGCATGATTTGATTCATATGTGGAATTCAAGAAACACAACAGATATACATAAGGGTAGGTAAGGAAAATAAGATAAAAACAGAGAGGAAGGAAAACCATAAGAGACTCTTAAGTACAAAGAACAAACAGGGTTGATGGAGGAGGTTGGTGGGAGGTAGGCTAAGTGGGTGATGGCCATTAAAGAGGATACTTGTTGGAATGAGCACTGGGTGTTATATGTAAGTGATGAATCACTGGGTTCTACTCCCAAAACCACTATTACAATTATGTTAACTGACCTGGATTTAAATAAATTAAAAAAAATTTTTTTTGATATTTATTTTTGAAAGAGAGAAAGAGAGACAGAGTATGAGTGGGGGAGGGCAGAGGGACAAGGAGACACAGAATCTGAAGCAGGCTCCAGGTTCCGAGCTGTCAGCACAGAGCCCAACACGAAGCTCGAACCCATGAACAGTGAGATCATGACCTGAGCCGAAGTCAGACACTCAACAGACTAAGCCATCCAGGTTCCCCTAAATAAAAATTTTTAAAAAAAGAATATAAATGAGGCTCGGCAGAAGCTTAGAACTAACACACCAAAAGCATGATCCTTAAAAGAGAAAACTGATACACCAGAATTCACAAAAATCAAAATTTTTTCTCTGTGAATGACCTTGTTAGGAGAAGAAAAAAGACAAAGTACAAATTGGAAGAATATTTGCAAATCATGTACCTAACAAAGTGGGCATCTCTCTAGAATATGTAAGGAAGTCTCAAGACATAAAATATTACATTAAAAGCTGTTTAAGATTCCAAAAAATATGTTTAAAAATAAAACAGTCAGGAATGCAAGCTGGTGCAGCCCCTCTGGAAAACAGTATGGAGGTTCCTCAAAAAAACTAAAAATAGAACTACCCTATGACCCAGCAATTGCACTACTAGGCATTTATCCAAGGGATACAGGTATGCTGTTTCAAAGGGACACATGCACCCCCATGTTTATAGCAGCACTATCAACAATAGCCAAATTATGGAAAGAGCCCAAATGTCCATCGATGGATGAATGGATAAAGAAGATGTGGTATATATATATATATATACAACGGAGTATTACTTGGCAATCAAAAAGAATGAAATCTTGCCATTTGCAACTATGTGGATGGAACTGGAGGGTATTATGCTAAGTGAAATTAGTCAGAGAAAGACAAAAATCATATGACTTCACTCATATGAGGACTTTAAGAGACAAAACAGATGAACCTAAGGGAAGGGAAACAAAAATAATATAAAAACAGGGAGGGGGACAAAACAGAAGAGACTCATAAATATGGAGAACTGAGGGTTACTGGAGGGGTTGGGGGAGGGGATATGGGCTAAATGGGTAAGGGGCACTAAAGAATCTACTCCTGAAATCATTGTTGCACTATATGCTAACTAATTTGGATGTAAATTTTTAAAAAATAAGAAATAAGGGGCACCTGGGTGGCTCAGTCGGTTAAGCGGCCGACTTCAGCTCAGGTCATGATCTCGCGGTCCGTGAGTTCGAGCCCCACGTCGGGCTCTGTGCTGACAGCTCAGAGCCTGAAGCCTGTTTCAGATTCTGTGTCTCCCTCTCTCTCTCTGACCCTCCCCCGTTCATGCTCTGTCTCTCTGTGTCTCAAAAATAAATAAATGTTAAAAAAAATTTTTTTTTAAATAAAAAATTAAATTAAAAAAAAGAATACTCAAAATCAATAAAAATAAAAAATAAAAGAAGTTTCAGTGTAACTCTGTGCAGACCTTAATGCTGACAGGTCAATAGTTGGTATAACAGACAAGAGCGAACTCTGGTTTCCAAACCCTTCTGTTCCTCTGGCCATGGCAATGGGACAAAGCGGAAGGCTCGGCTCAGGCCATCTTTCCCTCTCCCCTTTTTAATCAGTGGAGCACCGCTTTTGCAGCGTGATTCTCAAGAGGGGCCTATCAGAAAGGGTGGAAGGAGGAGGGGGAGAATATTGTTTAGTGTATAAAAGGGAGGTATGGGTTTTGGAAGATTTACCATATTGGGGTAGGAAAAAAGATTTTGTTTTTGAAAAAGGGGGCCCTTTGGCTTTAAAGGTTTGAAAAAGTAATGATTCTAAAACCTTTTACATTTCAACAGTGAAATTTTAAATGCAGAAGATATTTTCTCCATTAAACTTTCTGGCTGGTATTAAAGCCATTCAAGTGTGTATGTTATAGGTAGACTGTCATTTGGGAATTATGTCAATTTTCGTGATTGATATGAGTTGCATGTTATTTTATTTTTGCTAATGTCAGAAACACCACTAGCATAACCAAAAACCCCTGCCATTGAGCAAAGACTCTAAAAAGAAAAAAGAGGCTCCATAAGACAAACTGCTTCAAAAATACACCAAATTTACTTGATGAGGAAAAACAATAATACATTCTTAAGATTTTGTCCCCCCAAAAATTATCTAATGGCTAAAGAACATAACTAGAACTGTAAACATACACCACTAAGGCTATGTTTACACAACTGAAATTCAATGACTCCACCACCATTATATTAAACATTTAGTTCTAAAATTAGTATTTTCAAATGCCAGAGCTCAAGAAAAGCCACCATTACATTCATTTTATTTGAAAAATTCAGCAAAAATTTGCCCTAGACTTTTTTTTTTTTTTACTGGTTAGCAAACACACCACCTCTTCATTTTAAGTCTTATGAAAATAGCTGAGCCAAAGCACTTTCTCCAACACCAAATAGTGGGCCACATACAGAAGGAAGCTTTCTAAGACCTACTACCGCTATCCAATCCACTCGACACCTGCCAACCCTTGTGTGGCTCATGCAAGCTGGTGTCAAACTCTCCCCAGTTGGCCACTATTCTACTGCATTTATTAATAGTTATTTTTGCAAATAATTAACAATTTGTGAGGCAGTCTTTAAAAATTTCTTATTTACTACTTTGGGCTTAGAAAACTGGGTGCCCACAAGATGATATTCAAATCCAAAACATATTACTTTACTCTATTTTTATAATTTAAACAATTATTATTCATAAAATCAGTTTTTTAAGAACTTACCACGATCAGTGTCTTATCAGATGCAGTTATGGCACAAATTGGATCCCGGGTGCCCTAAAATAAATCAATTATTATTCTTTAACAAATACTTATTGAGTGACTAATCTGGTATAAGGTAGTATGCAATTCACTAAGAAGAATACTTCAATATATTTATTAACTTAAACATTCACTTACTGAGCACCTACTATGTGCAAGATGCTGAACTAAGCACCGAAGACACTCGAATAAAATCTTTCCCCTCAGGGATTACTCAAAAGCCTACTGGGGAAGAAAGCGAGCTGAACACCTAATTAATAAGAGTAGCGGTACGCTCAGGATCTAGGAGAGCAACAGAGGAAGGAACATCTCATTTACACAGAAGTACGCAGGGAGATGGAAACCTGAGCTCAGTCACAAAAGATGAACAGATGACAGAAGGGCCAGACCGTGCCAGAATGAGGAAGGGGAAACAGCATGGCACAGCAACAAGCTGGACGAGTCTCAAGAGCTTATGCTTAGTGAGAAAAAGCCAATCTCAAAAGGTTACATGCCACATGATTCCATTCATTTAAAGAATTCTCAGAGTGACAAAACCAGAAATGGAAACAGATGAGTGGTTGCCAGTGGAGCAGGGATGGGGTGGAGAACAAGTGTGAAAATGAAGAAATAGCATGAGGCAAGTTCTTTCATGATGGTAAGATTCCATAAAACCACACGCACACATGTACATGCATAAACTAGTGAAAACTGAGTAAGGAATCCGGTGGGAGTCCAGTTAATGGTGTCATTATCAATGTCAATTTCCTGTTTTTGATATTATACTACTGTTATAGAAGATGTCACCATTGGGAAGTGGGGCAAAAAGGTTCTAAGCTATCTGTACAACCTCCCATGAGCCTATAATTATTTCAAAAATGTTTTTAGGGGCCTCTGGTGGCTCAAGTCAGTTGAGTGTCTGACTCTTGACTTTAGCTCAGGTCATGATCTCATGGTTATGGGATTGAGCCCAGCATCATGGATTAGAGCTCCACACTCAGCGTGGAGCCTGCTTGAGATTCGCTGTCTCTCTCCCTCTGCCCCTCTCCCCCTCTCACGCTCTCTCTCTCTAAAATTTTAAAAAAGAATAAGAAAAAAAACAAAAATGTTTTTAAAAATCAAAAGAAGGAAAAATCACAGCACACCTAGAAAAAGGTTTTCACAACAGAAATTTTTTTTTAAGAATTACCAGAATATGATGCTATTCACTAAAAACAAATTCTTTTTCAGATCTTAAACTAAAATTACAGTACTTCCAAATCTACAGATATTAACATTTGCTGGCAATAAGATCACTTACTTGAATGGCTTTACTATAGTCAAGCACCCCATCCACTGATCCAGAAGGAGTATCATCCACATGATAAATTCTGGGAAAAAAAAGTCAGAATTTCAAAGATAGTCTAAGTACAGGTTATACCATTTCATAATCTTTAGAATAATTAGGTTGAATGTCACCAATGAATACTGTTATGTAACATAAATGTCCTGATTATTTTAAGGAGTTCTTGACACAACCTGGGGCGCCTGGGTGACTCAGTCAGTTAAGCGTCTGACTTCAGCTCAGGTCATGATCTCACAGTTCGTGAGTTCGAGCCCCGCATAGGGCTCTGTGCTGACAGCTTAGAGCCTGCTCCAGTCTTCAAATTCTATGTCTCCCTCTCTCTCTGCTCCTCCCCGTCTCATGCTCTGTCTCTCTCCTTCAAAAATAAATAAAAACATTAAAAAAAAATTTTTTTTTAAAAAGAGTTCTTGACACAACTCAATCGTATAAAGGTAGAAACTACCTACCAGGTGTTTCCTAGTTATGCAAGTAATATGTTCCTGAAAGCTAAGTCGAAAATATATTTGAACATTGAATCACATATTTTCAATGAATTTCATTAAGACCCAACAGCTATTTTACCTTATTCTCCAAATGAATGTCAGGAATAACTTCTGATACACTAAGTAAGTTTCTCTGTTGTTTCTCCGTAATTTCCTGTCTAATAATGTGCTCAATGAAGGTGAAGCCTAGGGGCGTCTGGGTGGTTCAGTCAGTTAAGTGTCTGACTTCGGCTCAGGTCATGACCTCACAATGCCGTGGATTCAAGCCCCGCATCAGGCTCTGAGCTATCAGCACAGAGCCTGGAGCCTGCTTCGGATTCTGTCTCTGTCTCTCTGCCCTTCCCCTGCTTGCTCTGTCTCTGTCTCTCAAAAATAAATAAATGTTAAAAAAAATTTATGGCTGCCTGGGTGGCTTAGCTGGCTGAGTGTCCAACTTAGGCTCAGGTCATGATCTCGCATTCGTGGGTTCAAGCCCCCATCGGGCTCCGTGCTAACAGCTCAGAGCTTGGAGTCTGCTTCGGATTATAGGTCTCCCTCTCTGTCTGCCCCTCCCCTGCTCGTGCTCTCTCTCTCCATCTCTCAAAAAATAAAATAAAACATTAAAAAAATTAATAAAAATTTTAAAAAATACATAAAGGTAAAGCCTAAATGTATTTGGGAAGCTCTAATTAATGAAATTTTTGTTCTGAACTAAAGAATTGTTCCCTATGTTCCCTGTGTGATGATGATGACTACTTTTGGACTCTGCCCATCTCTCTGATACCTTCATTATAATACTATTCACACCATAGTATCTCCACTAGTTTACCTCTCTCTCTAGTTGGTGGGTTTCCCGGAACCAAAGGCTGTATCTCTAGTGCCTAGCACAGTGCCATATACTGCCAGGTGCTCTATGTCTGCTGGAAAAACATTAAAACAAGTGGAGGTGAACAGGGAAGATACGACATAGAGTAGCTATGAGGCCCTGGGCAAGTCACTTAACTTCTCTGATCCTCAATTTCTCCATGTGGAAATAAGGGCAACGTTTTGCAGGGTTTTTTTTAAGAGGCATAAATAAAATGATGTTTGTAAAGTACATATGCACAAAGCCTGATCATCAAGAAATCATAAATGTAATATAATCATAAGAAAATCAAGCCATTTTCTATCTCAAAAATATCATGAGATTTTATCATTGTTAAACTGAAATCATAATTGTACTTTGATCAATAAGGAGATTAAATGTTAAATTTAACAGAAATGTATTAAAGACAGAAAGAAAATATATTTTAAAAAGAAATGATTTAGAGGTGCCGTGCTTCTGTATTTTACTACATTTCTATTAAGTATATCCAGCCACTATTTCTACTAGTTATCACAAAATAAGAGTCAACAGTTAGAATAGGAGGGCTCTCAAGAGATCACGTGACCCCCTTCCCCCTCTTAAAACAATCAGGGTACTACAAGAAAGGCCAATCTGAGTGAAGTGCTTCAGAGCCAGATCAACCTGGCTTTATGTCCCATCTCTACTTATCAGCTAGTGACCTTTGGCAAATAATTTAAGCTCACGTGTCTTAGTCTCTTCTCTGTGAAACAGGATTAATGAGAGTACTCACTAGGCTTACTGGAGTATCTGGCAGGTAAGAAGTATTCAGTGTTGGCTGTTATCACTATCATCAAAGGTATTTTACAGATGAGGAAAGTGAGGTCCAGAGAGAACCTGCCCAGTCATATCCCACATAGAAATACAAGGAAATGCTGCCATCTTAAAGCCAGAATATCTTCAGCTGGCTCCCAGGACACTCACTCTATGGAGAGGCTAGACTTTTCTGTCCCAACTTTGTCCTTAGATCTACCTTCTCCTTGCAGATGGCAGTTCTCTTGCTTATTATTGCTACCACTGCCACATGCTGTCCTGAAAAAGGCCAAAGATTCTTCCTATCTAGACTTTCAGAACTACTGAGAAGATATAGTATTTTTCAATTTTTTTTTGTTGTTGTTTTGCTTCCACATGAATTCATGCATCCAGAATATTTTTACTAGGGACATTTCTCCTATCTTAGTACCTGAGTGAATCTTAAAGGAAAGGGAAGATTGCATTAAGACAGCAAGCATGTGTGAGGGAAGATGATCTGAAAAAGCAACCCAGGGTTTCTGACATAACCCCCAGTGCCCACTCCCAACAGAGGTCTAAGCCCTGATTAAGAATGATTAGGTTAGGGGCGCCTGGGTGGCGCAGTCGGTTAAGCGTCCGACTTCAGCCAGGTCACGATCTCGCGGTCCGGGAGTTCGAGCCCCGCGTCAGGCTCTGGGCTGATGGCTCAGAGCCTGGAGCCTGTTTCCGATTCTGTGTCTCCCTCTCTCTCTGCCCCTCCCCTGTTCATGCTCTCTCTCTGTCGCAAAAATAAATAAATGTTGAAAAAAAAAAAAAGAATGATTAGGTTAAAGCACTCAACAAAATGCTTTATTTAAAGGTTTAGGGTGGGGCATCTGGGTGGCTCAGTCAGTTAAGCCTCTGACTTTGGCTCAGGTTGTGATCTCAAGGATCATGGATCCAGCTTGTGTAGGGCTCTGTGTTGGCAGTGCATAGCCTGCTTGGGATTCTCTCTCTCTCCCTCTCCCTCTCTGCCTCTCCCCTGCTCGCACTATCTCTCTCAAAATAAATAAACTTTAAAATACATACGTACATACATACATACATACATACATAAAGGCAGGCTTAGGGTAACAACAAGTGGGTAAAATACAGAATATCACCAACAGATATAATATAACTTACAAAAACTCAGGAAACACATCTACACCTTGAAACTTATCACAGGAATCCCCCCATCCTAGTCCTAACTTCTCTATGTAGTAGAGCCCTCTCTATCACTTAACCCAACTCCCTGGAATCCAGGGCAAGAAAAAGAAGCCCAAGTAACCAGTTCACCCTACCTGAAGACCTCCTCCTTATCTGTGTCTAAGAACCTGCCTATCCTATGGTGGCTGACACTAGGATCACCCCCACTCTCCCAGAACAACCTGTGCCACTAACCCATAAGAATGAAGTTTTGGTCAGAAATTCAGTTGAATAATCGTATTTCAAGTATAGCATAATAACCCTAACATGGTGAGAGTAGGTGTGAGAGAATAGCTATTTCCTTATAAAAACACAGACTTCTGGGGTGGCTGGGTGGCTCAGTCAGTTGGGCAGCCGACTTCGGCTCAGGTCATAATCTTGCAGTCTGTGAGTTCGAGCCCCGCATCGGGCTCTGTGCTGACAGCTCAGAGCCTGGAGCCTGTTTCAGATTCTGTGTCTCCCTCTCTCTCTGACTCTTCCCCATTCATACTCTGTCTCTCTCTGTCTCAAAAATAAATAAAACGTTAAAAAAAAATTTATAAAAAAAAAAACACAGACATCCAGTTTTAATCTCTAAGGGCTTTCTTTTATTATACCACACCCCTTCTTATTTATTTTGATCAATGTAAACAAATAATTTGAAAGATTTTTAAAGATTTTGAATGGGAAAGTATTATTTCTAGTAATCAAAACAACTTACAGTTCTCAAGCATGACAATTTAGAATTAACTATGTCTGGTTTAAATGTGATACGGCTGAGCTACTAAAAACCATGTATCAAAGGATATACCTTTCTCTCCCTTCTTTCCGAGACCGCGTGATCTGATTAATTTCCAATGCTGTGAGCTTCTTTGCCACACGATATTGCCAGGTATAAAATGCTTCTTTTGAAGCTGCTATCACATGGGTTTTGGTCATTGCAACAAATAATGGTACTATTTAAAAGAGCATTAAAACAATTAGGTTACAGTTACACAGAATCACAGAATGTTTGTGCTGCAAAGGAATTCAGTGACCACTGTATTCAACTCCTCATTTCAGACAATATACCCAACATGCAGTCTCTAAAATCAAAAAACATAATCAAAAGCTTGTAGGACCATACAAAAATATTACATGAAAATGGATCAAAGACCTAAATGTAAGAGCTAAAATTACTGTAGAAATCTTAGGGGGGCGGGGGGGGGGGAACCTTAGAAATAAATCTTTGTGACCTTGGATTAGGCAAGAGTTTCTTAGATATGACACCAAAAGCACCAGCAACAAAAGAAAAAGTAGATAAACTGGACTTCATCAAATTTAAAACATTTGTGCTTCAAAGGACACCATCAAAAAAGTGAAAAGACAACCCACAGAATGGAAGAAAATGTTTGTAAATCGTATATGTGATAAGGAATTATTTCTAGAATATATAAAGATCTCTTACAACTCAATAATAAAAAGACAAAAAACCCAATTAAAAAATGGTCAAAGGATCTGAATAGACATTTTTCCAATGAAGATATACAGTCACTAAGCAAAGGAAAAAGATGTCCAATATCATTAGCCATCAAGCAAATGCAAATCAAAACCACAATGACATACCACTTCAAACCCACTATAATGGCTACAATCAAAAAGTCAGCCAATAACAAGTATTGCCAAGGAAGCAGAGAAATGGTAGGGAAATAGTGGTGCATCCACTTTGAAAAATAGTTTGGCAGTTTCTCCATTTGCTAAATACAGAGTTACCACAGGCCCCACCAACTCCACTCCTAGGTATATACCCAAGAGAAATGAAAACAAATGTCCACACAGAAGCTCACACACAAATGTTCAGAACAGCATTGTTCATAATAGCCAAAAAGTTGAAATAGCCCAAATGTCCAATTAACTGATAAAGAGATAAATCAAATCCCACTACCTCCTCCCATCCCCATTATTATTACTGCTTGGTTTGGGCCTTTATCCTTCCCTCTGACCTCACATCTTATAATTCCTCATTAAGTTATAAAAGAAAATTCTAGATGGCTAACAAACACAGGAAAAAACGCTCAACATCACTCATCATCAGAAAAATACAAATCAAAACCACAGTGAGATACCACCTCACACCTGTCAGAATGGCTAAAATTAACAACTCACGAAACAACAGATACACTGCTGGTGGGAATGTAAATTGGTTCAGCCACTCTGGAAAACAATGTGGAGGCTCCTTAAAAAATTAAAAATAGGGGCGCCTGGGTGGCGCAGTCGGTTGAGCGTCCGACTTCAGCCAGGTCACGATCTCGCGGTCCGGGAGTTCGAGCCCCGCGTCGGGCTCTGGGCTGATGGCTCAGAGCCTGGAGCCTGTTTCCGATTCTGTGTCTCCCTCTCTCTCTGCCCCTCCCCCGTTCATGCTCTGTCTCTCTCTGTCCCAAAAATAAATAAAAACGTTGAAAAAAAAATTAAAAAAAAAATTAAAAATAGAATTACACTACTAGGTATTTATCCAAAGTATACAAAAAGGCTGATTTGAAGGGGTACACGCACCCCAGTGTTTATAGCAAAACTATCACAATAGCCAAATTATATACACAACGGAATACTACCCAGCGATCAAAAAGAATGAAATCTTGCCATTTGCAACAAAATGAATGGAACTGGAGTGTATTATGCTACGTGAAATACGTTAGTCAGAAAAAGACAAATATCCCATGATTTCACTCATATATAGAATTTAAGAAACAAAACAGACGAACATAGAGGAAGGGAAGGAAAAATAAGATTAAAAACAGAGAGGGAGGCAAACCATAAGAGACTCTTAAATACAGAGATCAAACTGAGGGTTGCTGGAGGGGAGGTGGGTGGAGGGATGGGCTAAATGAGTGATGGGCATTAAGGAGGGCACTTGTTGGGATGTGTATGGAGCGTTACATGTAAGTGACGAATCACTGGGTTCTACGCCTGAAACCAATACTACCCTGTATGTTAACTTGAATTTAAAGAAATAAATTTGATTAAAAAAAAGAACAATTAGAGATTAAAAAAAATAAAATCATGAAGAAGAGAAGCTAGATTTAGAGTACTGTATGGTAAAATCTGTGTACAAGCGGACCCACACAGTTCAAACCTGTGTTGTTCAAGAGCCAGCTGTATCATTAAAATTAATTTTTGTCTGTTTAAAAAAAAGAAAAGAAAATTCTCCAAAGTTCCTTCCTAATTTAGGAAAATATTCTCCTAACCATATAACTTTGTTCATCTATTCCTTTTCTTAGAGAACATTTAAGCTCCTACCCTTTGTAGGACCTGTGTACCCTTTGATGACATAGCCTTATAAAATCTAGCTTAAAGATTAAAAAATAGAGGAAGAAGTAAAATAACTTGTCCAAGGTCACAAAACACAAACTAAATACCATAAAACTAAGCAAACACATTCACACAAACTATGTAAAAACAAAACAAAACTCCATCATAAAAGATCATTTTAGTACCTATTTTCTAAACTCCTGAATAATTAGAATAGTATAAAACTTGTGTTTTATTAAATATTAAGCTAAATAATTATTCATATGGCCAGAATAAAGGAATGGTGTTAACAGCAGCTACCATTTATGGAGTTCTTGCCATGGTCCAAGTAAACATTTAAGGCATTAAAAGACTGAGAAAATGGACAAAGAATCAGAAACCAGGCTAATGATAAAATAGTAATTGAGTAGATTACCAACTTTGTGATTCAAATTCAAGAATTTTTATATACAAAGTAATTCAGTATAGTTGAATCATGCTAAAAACATTTTTTCATTACAATTGTCAAGGTTTTTCTATTTGAAACACGTACTATTGTTGAACTCTAGAGGGAGCCAGAAGCCTTTCCTGTAGGGAACAAGTGGTCGAAAGGTGATCCTGGAAAAGTAGCAAGGGCCTGGGGAGCGCTGAGTGAGAAGAATGAGCATGCCAGGCCCAGGCTTTGCTCAGCTTTCTCTGACCCCACTCTCACTAAATCATAAGACATTTGCTAAACGTTTAGTAAATTCTACCACAGACACTCTAATGCTGATGAGTATAATGCCTTTAGTGGGATTTGAAATAAGTTCACAACTTTAAACTATTTTCTAATATGGGGCACCTGTGTGGCTCAGTGGGTTTAGTGTCTGACTTTGGCTTAGGTCATGATCTCGTGGTTCCGTGAGCTCGAGCCCCGCATTGGGCTCTCTCTGCTGTCAGCACGGAGCCCGCTTAGGATCCTCTGTCTCCCTGTCTCTCTACCTGTCTGCCTCTCTCCCTCTCTCTCTCTCTCTCTCAATCTCTCTCTCTCTCTCAAAAATAAACATTAAAAAAATTTTTTCGAATAAAATACAATTTTTTCTAAGCATATATAAAAGCATTCCTCTAACCAACATTTACATACAACTATAAATTCTACTCATGTTCCTCTCTGATACATCCTAAATAATCACAATACCTTATCATTAGCCTGGTTAAATTAAAATGTTAGTGGTTCATGGAAAGAGTCAGACTTTTGGATTCAAACTACAGGTACTTGCTTAACTCTGTAGCCTTAGATAAATCACTTATTCTCTCTGAACCTCAGTTTACTTACTGCAGTTGGAAATAATAATATCTTATACAGCTGCTTTAAAGATTAAAAGAGATAACAAAGCATGGCAAAATCTCTGGAATAGAATAAACACTTAATAATAATTTCAAAGCCAATATTTATTAACTTAAATATATATATTATATATTACATATATATATTATTTATATATTTAAGTTAATAAATATATACATCAGGTACATATACCATATACTATAAATACATTAACTATAATTATTTGGTTCTATATAATATATAATTGTATTAATATATAATGAAAATATTACATAGTATATATTCTCACTCATACTCACAACTATTCTATGAGATAAGCATTATTACCCCACTGGGCAGATGAAGAAACTGAAAGAGGGAGGGGTTAAATAACTTGCTGAGGTGCATGGCTAGAAAGCCGGAGGTGAGACAAAAGCCCAGTTAATCTGGCTCCATAGCCTGTGCTCTTAACCACGATGGCATATTGCTTCTAATTAACGGTTAATAATAGTATTAGATGTGGATACTAGTATTGTTTTTATTTTTATTACCTATATAGGTTTTTATAATAAAGTCACATATAAACCCAACAGTCAATACAAAAAAAAATGCAAATACAAATATATCTAAAACATACATTCTTTGGATCAGTATGGGAGTAAATTCAGCAAATTCGTATGGGTAGATAATCCTGTCTACAAAAACTATGCTAGATTTTCATTAAAAGATCCATCCCATCCTGGTGGATTAGTTCTTAGTTTCCTAGAACTAAGCCCCCAGGAGTAAGTTAGGAATCCAAATTTTAACAGACAGAACGTTTTAGAAAAAGAACACAACCAGGATAAAAGCATTCCATGTTCCTCTCAACTACTCATTATTTGGAAAGAAAAATTTCAAATATTTAGAATGATTATTGGAAACAAAAATTTTTAAGGAAATAATTACGCTTCCATTAGCTGAACTCTGTTAACACTTATAGGTAGAAGTCACTACGCAGGCAAAGGATGTAAAATAACCTAAAACAACCTAGGAATTCATATGTAAGTAAAACTTGCTTGTAATATTTTAATGCTGAGGCCTGAAATAAATGTCTACATCTGTAATGTTCCCTTACTTTCCTACTTACTAATTTCTCAGCCTCTTAAAAAATCTGGTAAACTGAAATTGCACTGACATGTTTTCATCAAACTGCCTTTCTCTAGAATCTATGCATGACTCCAGGCATGTGGTAGAGACCATCATTAGAAAGCCACCTACCAGCTCCCACCAAAATGGCTAAAACACAGGCACCTGGTACTTTCCAGGCACTTTCCATGCCTTCGTTTCTCTGCAAATGCTGCTTTCTTTCTCTCCTTAAAATGTCACCTGAATAAACACTTATCCTTCAAAATACAGCTCAAATGAAACCATCTCTAAGTAGCAAAGATATGTCTGATGTCCTTACTCACTAATATCCACTTATCCAACACCTAGCACGATACCAACCTAGCACACAGCGGGGGAACAGTACACCAGTGTCAAATGGATTAACGACATTTCATTATTTGTTTAGATATCCTACAGGAAGTTTCATAGTCAATTTTTTATAACTCCAGATACCCAGTACAGTACCAGAAACTCACTGAAGTTTTGCTAAATAAATGTGTCATTTTCCATTTTCATTATAGAAATAAGTACTTTCCATATGCTCAATAAGCATTTGTTATAGGGCAGGCACAGTGTTAGAGGAATACAGAAATTAATAAGACATAGATCTCTAAGGAGTCCAAAATCTTGTGGGGAAGGCAAACGAGAAAATCAGTAATTGTAGTGCAGAGTAAAAAGTAGTACTCTGAACAGAAGTGCACCTTTAAAATACCTCTTAAAGGTATTTTAAGAGCTCAAAGGAAGAGCACCGGAAAAGGGCATGTAACTCCTCCATGCATAGTACAAATGCCCCACAGACTAAACTTGTATAATAATGCATAAAGTTCTTTTAAAAAGTTTCTACAGAGATTGGCAGGAGGAAGAGCAGCACAAAAATTACACTTTCCAGAGCAACATCAGTTACACACTTTTTTCGTTTTACCCTCCAGTCCTCACAAAAATCTGGCATACAAACTTAAAAAAGGAATTTTACAGGATATGTATGAAACAAAAATGTTGAGTCCTTGGCTCGGTTTACTGCAAGCCAATGAAAGAACTGTTTGTTAAAATTTCAGCCAGCGAGACTGCAAAAAAAAAAAAAAAAGTTTCAAGACTCAAAAATACAAATAATCATGCCCTCAAGTATTTCCCATTTTATGAAGGTGAAGGATTTACATCTGGCTTTATGAAAAAAAAAAAAAAAAAAGACTACCTATGATTAAAATTACTTTGAGGCTAACCCTACCATCATTATTCTGTTAAAACTTTTGATATCAAAAGAAAAAACATATAATCTAAAGACTGACATAATTCATCCCTTAAGAGACTGTTATGTTTCCAATACAAGATATTCCTGTGATAAGAGTCTGTAATAATTTTAAGCTAAGCCTTTTAACAAGGAACACTAACATATATACATATATATGCAGGTACAAATATAAACATACCTCTATAACAATGAACGTAAGATATGAAGTTGAAAAGTGTCAATATATAAAACTGAGTTACCAAAACTCTAAACAGACAGCATAAAATCTTGAAAGCCCATTACGTATTTCTCACATTTGCTTGTATCACCCAAACAGTTTAGCAAAATATATTTAGAAGGGAGACACTAACATTTGATGAAGGTTAAATATGAAATCTGAAAAAAAAAAAAAATGACTAGCTCTCAGATTCAGAAAATTCAATGGGTTTTCAATTTTTGAAGTCTAATAATTTTTCTAATACCATATCCAATAAACTACCACACTTAAAACACATTACTTTTGGAAGTTAAAGTGAAATCGCCACAAAATATTTGGTAATGATTTTTAACAAAAAAACTTAAGAGTTAGATGAGAAATTTTTTAATGGTTACTTTCATAATTGTTGGACAGAGGGAATGGTAACTCTAAAGTAACAAATGTCTTCTGAAAACAAACAAAAAAAAATCAGGAATTTTTGAAAGCTGTCTCTATTAATAGATTGATTTCATTAGAAAAATCTGGAAAGAGAAAATGCACTTTTACAAGCAGCTAAAGTGTTTTTATAGAAGAGAGGTATTTGCAAGCAGCTTATTAATAATAAAAGTCGTTTAACAGCAAAATTGTTTCTATAATCCCATTTATTACATGCTAATCATTACATTGCATACCAATTCCTACACAAGTATATTTCCCATTGAAAGCAAATAATGGCAGTATAACAGTCATGAGATTACTGTGGCTTTTAGAGTAAACTTATAATTTTTTGTATTAAACAGGATATTTATACAGTGAAGTGGAGCATTATTGATAATTTGACTACGATAATTGGCATAAACTGGTGCTGGACTTGGCAAACCAGGAAAAATGGTCATTCTTGTTTAGAAGACCATTTTAATTAATAATGCCATAGCTAGGTTTTTAAATTAGTTGTACAAATAAAACTTGATTAAAGAGGGAATAGACATTAACATTTCCTTACCAATATCAATATATTTGGGATCCAAAGGTGTGCCAATAGAATTACAAAGAACTAGCACAAACTGTGAACAAATAAAAAAGAGTATCAGAATTCCTGCTTCTGTACAATGAAAGAAATAATGCTTAATATATCATGCTTATCTCTGTAAAGTATCACAACAGGGAAATAACTGATAAAATTGTTAAGTGCAAAGAATAGCAGACAAATATAATCTACAGCATTAAACATAAAGATATACGAATTAAAATTAAACCAAGGCTGATTTCTCAATATAATGGAACACTGTCATTTTTAAGAGTTCACCTAAGAAACACAAGTACACTGGCTACGTTTCATTATTTACACTTCTAAAATTCCTGATCAGCTCTAACCTCAAAATTCATTTTTATCTTATAATCAGCTATATAAGAACTAATTTGTTACCATTGCACCAAATGTTTCCATCTCGTTCTCCTCCTTTGAAGCAATATAAAAATGACATGTACACAATTAATTATCAATAATTAATATTCAGTAAAATAATCAAGCATAATGCACACTTTACACCATACTAAAGCGATAATTTCATTCTTCTATTGTTAATCACCTTTTCTATATCTTGTGCTAAGAATACTATTTTACTTAGATATTCTCCCGATTGGAATAACGACTTCAAATAAACCAATTCTCTACGTACTACTTACATGCAGACTTTCTCTTTCTTTTTTCAGCTTCTCAAGAAAAACTTCTTTAATTTCATAAATATAAATTAAATGAACCCTTGTGCACTGTTGGTGGGAATGTAAACTGATGCTGCCATTGTGGAAAACAGTATGAAGGTTTCTCAAAAAGTTAAAAATAGAACCACACTATGATCCAGGAATCACATTACTGAGTATTTACCAAAAAAACACAGAAACACTAATTCAAAGGGATACATGCACTCCTATATTTACTGCAGCATTATTTACAATAGCCAAGCTATGGAAGCAGCCCAAGTGTCCATCAATAGATGAATGGATAAAGAAGATGTGTTATACACACACACACACACACACACACACATACACTATTCAGTCATAAAAAAATTAAAACGTGCCATTTGCAACAACATGGATGGAGCTAGAGAGTATGATGCTAAGTGAAATAAGTCGGACAAAGACAAATACCATGATTTCACTCATATGTGGAATTTAAGAAACAAAACAAATAAGCAAAGAAAAAAAAAGGCAGAGAGAGAGAGATACAAACCAAGAAACAGGCTCTTAACTATAGAAAACAAATTGATGGTTACCAGAGGGAAAAGGAGTGGGGATGGGGGAAACAGGTGACAGGAATTACACATCAAGAATACACATCAGAATGAGCACTGAGAAATGTATGGAAGTGTTGAATCACTATATTGTACACCTGAAAGTAACATAACACTGTATGTTAATGATGCTGGAATTCAAATAAAAATTTAATTTAAAAAAGAAAAAAATTTAATTTTTAAAAAAACAAACTAAATGACAAAAATTATACTAAAATATAATTTACTTTTCCACTACTTAAAATAAGCTGATTTACTGCCACAAAATACCACAAGTAACTTGTATTTGTTAATCCACATATCATCTACATGCTCATAGCTTAAAGAATGGAAGAGTTCCTAAGAACTCTTCTTACTGAAGAGTAAGAAGTCCTCCCCTAAAACTTCCCATTTTCTGCTCCCTGGAGTAATGACTTTCAGCCCCTTTAATTCATCCTTTTGATATTTACCTCCACAAACCTAAGTAACACGTTGATAATGCTACTTCTTATTTTGTTCTGTTTCGATCTGGAGCAGTATCTACTGACTTCTCACTATCACTTCCCACTATCTTTCAGTCCCCTTTCCAGCCTCCCATCACACAGGGGTACACTTCCACCATTCCGGCTTTCCAGTTACAATTTTGTTAGATCGGGATTTTAGGGGTTAATATGGTTATTATACTTTAATTAAAAGTTTTTTAATTATAATATCCATTTAATTACAAAATTAATTTAAAAAGCATCATTTTGATTATGTAAACGCTATCCATGGCTGAGCTGTAAGTACGTCACGATTTATTCTAAATCGTATTTTGCTTTCCCTGTAGTTGGTAACTGCCTTTCTTTTTTCTCTTTGCTTGGTTTCTCTATACCCAATTACCTCCCAGTTATGTACATCTTCTCTCAAGAGTTCAACCACATTAAGCGTTCTATTAATTTCATCTTGAGTTTCCTCTGGAGCCACGTGATCTGCTGTCATCTGATGACTCCCTAGGCATGCCGCACACTGTCAACTGGTACCACTATGCACCACAGCTGTCAGGTTATCCAGTTTCTTCCTCTTGGTCTTTTCCTCGTTTTGGTAGGCCATATTCTGAAGTAACTAAGAAAGCTTGGGAGGTAAGTTTTGGTGACCTTATATATACATCTAAAAACGTCTTTGTCCTACCTGCATTTTATCTTTTTTCCACACAACACAGAAAGCTCTATTCATCCACACTAGTCCAGAGAAAGGCAGGTATGCTGTTTAGTATGCTGTTGTCTTGGTCTCCTGCCGGTTCTCTCTCCATCCATTTCCGCTCAACCTGCTTCTTTTTATCCTCGGCTGCTATCCTCCTTTCCTCTTCTGCCCAAGGCTTCAGGTACCTATAGCACTTGGTTCTGTAGGCCACACTAAGGAGCAGGGCCGAGGAGCAGCCGAGCTCGAGGAGCGGTCAGACCTGCACCAGCAGCACAATCTCGTCCATAACCTTCACGCTGGAAGCACTGTGCAATCAGGCTCCTTCCTTCATTTTAATTAGTCTGCTGCAGATATGGAATTCAAGACGGGAAATCATTTTCCCTCAAAATTTTGAAAGCAATTCTCCAAAGTATCGCTGTTGACAAGATGAATGCCATTATGATGCCTGACCGAATGAAGTCTTTCTGAAAGCTTATAGGATCTTCTTTTTATCCCGTGTTCTGAAACTTCACAATGATGTGTTTTGATTTGGAAATATTTTTATTCACTGAGGTAGACACTTTCAATCTCGAAACCCAAGGGAAATTTTCTTGAATAGTCTCTTCTCTCTTTGGATTACTCCCCTCCTCTTTGCCTACTTATTCACTGAACTTCCAGGGCTGGTCCTCTGATTTTCTTACCTATTCACTCCTGTTTCCCATTTCCTTGTCTTTCTGCTCCACTTTATAGGAGTTTTCCTTGATTTTATCTTCTAACTCTTCTGCCAAATTTTTCATTGCTATTATCATATTTGTAATTTCCAAAAACTTTTTCTATAGTATCCCTTCCTTGTTTTATGGATGTAGTATCCCTTAACTCTAATAATTTGAAATGACTCTTCTGAATTGTTCTTCTCCCTGCCGAATCTCTGCTTCCTCCGCATTCTTTTCTCCTTGTGTTTATTTTTGTGTGTGTCTGTTAAATGAGATGCTTTCCTCAAACGTCTGACAATCCTGGTCTATCTGTTTCTATTTCAGAGTATGACACTGAAAGCTGCTTGTAATCTATTGGTTTATGGGTGAGCCTCATGACTGGTCTTCACAGTAAGGTGACGAGGCAGGGATATTTCCTTGGGAACTCCCCATAGGAGAACTTTTAGAGGTCTTTTCTCTTGAACTGGTCAGATTCTCCAGACAGGACTCTTTATATGCCTTTTTAATTTTCTCCTTCCTGCATAATCTCTGGTACTTCCAAATTGTTTTTCCATTTGTTTCTTTCTCCTACCAGGTACCATTAAGTCCTGTGTCTCTTCAGGATTCTGGGATGAAAACTGGTTACTTCTTTGCTTTCTCCATTGATGACTTAGGATTCAGCTTTCTTAGGTCTGCTAAGGTAATCACCACTAATCCACCCACTCTTTAACCCCCAAAACTATGTTACCATTTCCTTTCTCTTTCTGGTCCCTATGAGCTTATGACTTTTTAAAAAATACCTTTACTGTTATTTTAGTAAGTTTCAAGAGAGAACAGAGCCAAAGGTGGCTGTTCAAATGGCCACCTTAAACCAAAAACTTTATGCTTTTTAATGGAATAAAATAATTTATAACACAGCCAAAGATAATGATAATCCTTTTTTGAAAAATGTATATGCTTCTGCAAATATTTAAATTGTTTCATACTTTTTAAGGCATTATTTATATTATTTATTTTACACTATGAGACGGTTATTTTTAAAGCAATGTAACTCCAAATAAAAGTATACTTCTCAATGTCAAAACTACCCAAAGTGTTATAATGATCATAGTTACATAACTTCTTGAGCATTTATACTAGACATCTGGATATTCATTTTTCCTTGTGGAATTTTAACTTGGAAAAAGACGGTAGTATTTTAAATATGTTTCAGAGACAAAAAGCTTCCATACTGAACTGGTGAGTATGAAATGCTAATGGATTAGCTAATTGGAAAAAAAAATAGAGTCACAATGGAATCACATAATTTTCCAAAACAGAGGTCCAGACAGACATGGCCAATAGACCCAACACTTTGCTGTACTGCCAGTAGAGAGGCTATACCTGAGAAGGAGAGGTTAACCCATACCCATCTTAGCTTTAACGTATGAAGGAACACTGACCTGAGGATGATTTTCATCAGCTTTCGTAGCCAAAATGCAGAAATCTCCACAGGTAGTAATAGAAATGAGACTCTTCACATATTTAACATATTTCTCATTGTTTTTTGTATCCCAAAAGATAACACAATACTCGGGACGATCAGGTCTGGTATAAGCATATACTACAGTATTGGAGCAATAACCCCACTAGGAAAAAAGGAAGGAGCAAAGGGCCAGAACAGGAGGGAAGAAGAGAGGGAGAGAGAGGAAGAGGAAAAGAACACTTAACACTGGGAACAAAAAATCTTATTATGTACTGCAGATACGTGGTTTTTTGGTGCTGACAAAATATATTCTTCAGGAGTAAAAGACAGAAAGACTGAACATTCAGCACAATACCTTTTCTCACTAAAATAACAAAAAATCTAAGAGAAACACAGTTATCAAACAAAGAATGTACTGCAAAAATAAGTTTAGTTTAACTTTCCTTATTTCCATTTGTAAGATTCACGCTTCAGTGGTGAAAATCTCGGATTTTTCAGTAGTCCGTAACAGCTGCGTGAGGGACAACAGGAGTGACCCCTGTCAAAAGCTTAACTTCTGGGTCCCCAAGCCAAATTTCAAAAACAGATGCTTTGCTTTTTCTCCCCTATCTACACTTTCTACATTTGTTTTTACCAGAGTAACATATGCACATAGCGTAGAGTCAAATAATTCTACATAGCTAATTTAAAACAAAAATAGAATGCAGACCCCACTGACTAATTTCCTCCCAGTGGTAGCCATTTGTAACTCTGAGCTTTGACTCTTGTTATCTACCTCCATATCACGTATGTATTGATTACGGCTTATGGAATGTCTTTCTCTTGGGCTAACTCTCCCAATATATTCATAATGTAATTCTGAATAAAGCAATATTCAAAGTTAATATTATGACTATGTTTACTATTCAAAATTAAGGCATATTTACTTTTTATAGGATGGTTAGTTTTTAAAATAAGCTTTTTACTTTAAAATAATTTTAGATTTATATATAAGTCACAAGGATAATACAGAGTTCCCTATAGTCCTCTCCATTTCCCCCTGCTGTGAGTACCTTACACTGCTGTGGTACATTCATCACAACTAAGAAGCCAGCACAGATCCAGTACTATTAACTAAACTCCACACCTTATTTAGATTTCATGAGTTTTTCTCCAATGTTCTTTTTCTATCTCAGAATCCTACTTGGAATACATTATGTTTAGTCACCTTGTTTCCTTAGGCTCCTCTGGTCTGTGATGATTTCTCAGTCTTTCCCCATTTTTAATGACCTAGACAGTTTTGAGGAGTACTGGTCAGGTATTTTGCAGAATGTCCTTCAATGTGGGTTTGTGTGATGTTTTTCTCCTGCTCAGACTGGGATTTTCAGAACGACCATCAGAGAAGTGATGACCTCTTCTCATGTGCCACATTAGGGGTACGTGATATCTATGTGACACCAGTGATGATGCTAGCCTTGATCACCTAGACAATGTGGTGTCTGCCAGGTTCCTCCACTGTAAAGTGACTTTGCTTTTCACCCTTTCCATACTCTACTCTTTGGAAGTGAGTCACTAAATGCAACTCACATTCAAGTTAGGGGGGGCAGGGGACCAGCTGGGGTAGTGTCTAAGTAATTCAAATACTTCTGTAAGGAAGATTTGTTTCTTCCCCCCCATTTATGTATTTAAATAATCTATTTTAGATCAGGTTTTGCTTGTGGACACTTATTTTTATAATTTGGGTTACAATCCAATGTTACATCATTTATTTTGTTGCTCAAATTGTTCCAGTTTGGGCCATTGGGAGCTCTTTCAGGTTGGCTCCTTTGTCTCTTTGGCATGCCCCCATCCTTTTGTTTGAGACTTCCTTACTTTCTGCCACTATCAGAGGCTCCAGGTTCATCTTGCATTTTTCCCACCCTAGTCCTAGAATCAGACAGCTCTCCAAGGCACTTTGCCTTCTAAAAAATGAATTAAGTTTTTCACACATAACAAATATTCTTAGTATTTTGCAGCTCAATTAATCTCATACTTCTGAATTTGTTTTGGGTCAAATGTTAAATTTAGGATAAAGTACTGATTAGTATTATGCTGCTTATTTTCATTTTCCTCTTCCGATCCATCCTCTCCCCTTCTTTACCCTACACTATGCCCTGGAAACTAACTTCTATGAACTCCATCACGTGGGCTACCTTGCCTTCTAGTTTCCAGCTGGGTCTGGCCAATAGAAGGCACCAGCAGGCGGAGAGATGGCTGAAGTACTCCCTCCCCAAAGCTGTCTCTGTCCATCCAGTCAGCAGAAGCTGCGCTCCCACAGGACAGTCTCTCTTGTATACCCACAGCCCAGTGGGTTCCAGGAACAATAACACTTCCTTATTTTGCCCACCATTGCTAATACCTGGATGCTTGCCTTGTCAACCCTTACTGAACCCCTTAACCTTGCCCACACCTCTGAAATAAACCCTTCATCAATCTGTTTTCAATTATTCTTTTGTGTGTGCCATGCATTTCCTGCTGAGACCCTGACTGTTGGGAGTATTTTATTAATTATATATAATATTCTAGAAAAGCTTTCTGGTTCTAAAGTCTCCACACTAAAAACACCTCCTTTCATCTGGTTTCTAAAATAAAGTGGCTGTGAATACATGCAAGAAACATATTATACTTCAAGCTACAACAAAACTATTTAGTAAAAACAGCCTTTTTTTTTTTTTTTTTTTTTTTTTTTTTACAACTGCTCATAATACTCACCTTATAATCAGGTCGAATGTTTGCAAAATATATAAAAGAATCAACGGCTAGTGCAATTTTCAGTCCTCCTCCTTCCCAAGATAGTGCAGACATCTGCTTTCCAGGAACCTTCAAAGTACCCAAATGCTGAAAAAAATGATTATATTTAACCTAAAGTATTGCAATTAAATAAAATATAAATTACCACCCACCACTTCATAGACATCAAGAGTGGCATATAAATTATTTTGTGAAAGGTTACCACTCACTTCATAATCATTTTCCTTGAATTTTTATAATGAAAAACATACATACGATAGGAGAAATTTATGAACAATAACCAAAGAATTCAGTATCAAATTTCATCAAATCTAAGATTTGAAATCCAGAGATTTAAATATGCATCTTTACTTTTATGTACAACTCAGGAAAGAAAAAAAATACATTGTTAATTAAAATAGAAACTCTGACTATACGATGCACCCCAATTTTGAAGTTGTTAAAAAAAAAAACAACTGCGCCTCCTGGGGGTGCCTGGCTGGCTCAGTCAGTGGAACACGCGACTCTTGATCTCAGGGCCGTGCCTCAAGCCCCACGTTGGGTGTAGAGATACTTAAAAATAAAATATTTTTTAAAAAACTGTGCTTCTTGGAATCAATGAATTGTGGCAGTAAACACAATGCTTAAGGCTGGCCTCTCTTTCACCCCCCACAGCCAGTGGGTCAGTAGTCCCATCGCTTCCGCTCACATCCATCCTCCACTGCCACGGCCTCTTTTCCTGAGTCAATGATGGTAACGGTCGAACTGCAATTTTTACCTTTCACCTCTTTCCTCATTCCCAGCCTCCATCCCCCAAATTCAATTCTTCATTTTACTGTCATAATTACCTTTCTGGGACACAAATCCAATCATGTCCTACCCTGCTTTAAAAAATGTTTAATAATTTTTAAAAATCAATAGCTCCCCACCATCACATTCTTTAGCAGAGTATGCAATGCCTCTTCCCATCTGGCCCAAAACCATACTCTTGGGTTCAGTACCCCACTATCTGGCCATAATGCTTGTGTTCTCACTCATGAGAGGACCACTATGCCTCCAGACCTTTGGCCCAGATAATATCTCTTCTGCCTGAAATCTCCCTTTCCTCTCCCATCCTTACTCTCCCTTGCCCTACTGCAGCACCGCTCTCCATCCTCCAAGACACAACTTTAGTACTGCTTCCTGCCTTCTCCCTCCTTCTGTGGGTCCAGAGAATTCAGATAGTGAGCAACCTGAGAGCCCTAACTTCATCATGCTTATATCTATGTCCCTATCCCTTAATGGACTGGTTGGTAAACAGGTACTCAATAAATATCTCTTAAGTAAATAAATATATCATGCATCCAAATTAATGTCTTCAAATATGACAACATGCTTGATACTTTTAATTACAACTATACCAAACCAACTTACAGTTTTCAATTTAACATAGCACATTTTATGGCTAAGTTAACAGTGAATAAATGAATACAAAGACATTTTCAGGTGGTCATAAAAAAGAAAATATTTTAAATCTATGCTTTTTTGACAGACCTAAGAATTTTAATAAGCTGTACCAGTATCCTCTGTTCTTTTTTTAAAAAAATTTTTTTCTCAATGTTTATTTATTTTTGAGAGAGAGACAGAGCATGAGCAGGGGAGGGGCAGAGAAAGAAGGAGACACAGAATGTGAGGCAGGCTCCAGGCTCTGAGCTGTCAGCACAGAGCCCGATGCAGGGCTAAAACTCACGAACTGTGAGATTATGACCCAAGCTGAAGCCGGACGCTTAACCAACTGAGTCACCCAGGGTGCCCCAACGATATCCTTTGTTCTTAAGCAGATATGCTCGAAAGTCAAATTTAATGTATTAAACTCCATTTTGTCAGGAAAACGGATAAGGGTAAAGATGTTTTAACCTAGAAAGCTCCACTCTATCTGTCCTGCTGCCTGTAGGAAACCAAAGGGAGCAAGCAGGCTCTCATGACAGCTTTGTACTGACAGCCTGCACTGGAAGAATAAGGCTATCTCCCCACTCTGCAAACCAGCCAGGTGATGGCAGCAGCAAGGAGAGATAAGCTGACTTGTAGTAAGCACAGTGCTAGGCATTTTCTCGTTGTTACCTCCTTTAATTTTTGCAACAGTGCCATGAAGTATTACCTTTATTTCAGAACATAAGTAAATTGAGTCTCAGAGGTTAAATAAGTTCGCTAAGTAAAACTACACTGTGGAAATGGAATTCAAAGCCAAAGCCAGGCCAACCTGACTACAAATCGCATGCTCTATTAGCCCTTTCCACGGCTGAGACCACAGTATAAAAACCAGAAGACTGTGGCCTTCAGGATCAAAAGCAAATTGCTTCTTGAAGTTTCCTTAAGTTTAAATCTTTAGATAACCTCCTTCCAAGTTATCTTCATAACATAAATCCACAATAAGTCCCCCATATATTCACTCATTCAAAAAAATACTAAGTGACTAATATACCTCGAGGAACTACGCTAGATACTTTTAATTACAACCATACCAAACCAACTTACACTTTTCACATTAACACATAGCACACTGTTTTGCAAGATAAAACAAACAGGCCTTAGGATCCATGTTTTTCTACTTAGAGAAGGCCGAGCTAACAAAAATAAGCAGATGAAACAATATAACAATAAGCCAATGCGACAAAAACAACCAATAAAGAACATCAATTAAAAAGGAGGCTGCAACCATTGAAATAACTGGAATTCAGATTTTTAATAGTTAGGAACCTTGAGAACTATACTTCTGTTTTCCTTACCTTTTAACATCTACCAGAAATATTATCAGGCAGCAACGTACGGAGAGTACCTACTCTCTACATCACACTCTACTGCATATTTTGAGATACTGATACAAAAGCATGAGCTGACACCATTTTTTTCTTTCACAGAAATTATTAAAATATATTTTTAAATATTACATAAAAATATTAAAACAACTGGGGAAGGCTTTTGTACAACAAAAACACATATTATTGAAATCTATGGTGAATTTATAAAATCCAACAGGGACTAAATGGAACCTAGAGTTAGAAAATAAAACAAGTATAAAGTTATTAAGCTTAATTAATATTAAGTTTTCATTTCCTAAATTCTTTAAAATTCACAATATATTGGGGAGCCTGGGTGGCTCAGTCAGTTAGGCGTCTGACTTTGGCTCAGGTCATGATCTCGCGGTTGGTGAGTTCAAGCCCTGCGTTGGGCTCTGTGCTGACAGCTCAGAGCCTGGAGCCTGCTTCGGATTCTGTGTCTCCCTCTCTCTCTGCCCCTCTCCTGCTCATGCTCTGTCTCTGTCTCAAAAATAAATAAAACATTAAAAAAAAATTTACAATATATTAATTCTCCTTTTGATATTTTCTATTATGACTTCAACAAAATTCTCCTTAAAAATTAAAATTTATTAGTAACACTATTGAGAAGGATAACCCATGCATTTATGAAAACAATGCTTGTATTTTAATGTAGCGTCACCTAAGATTAGTTATTAAAATGGATTTTCTTAAATTTTTTTTAATGTTTATTTATTTTTGAGAGAGACAGAGACAGAATGCAAGTGGGTTAGGGGCAGAGAGAGAGGGAGACACAGAATCCAAAGCAGGCTCTAGGCTCTGAGCTGTCCGCACAGCACCTGACGTGGGGCTCGAACTCACCAGCCGTGAGATCATGACCCAAGCTGAAGTTGGACGCTCAACCGACTGAGCCACCCAGGCGCCCCAAGATAGATTTTCTTAAAATAGTTGATTACTGCACAAATTAAAACTGTTAGAAGTTCGTGGTAAGGAGAGACAGTTATGGGTGTTTGATATCTATGTATGTTTTAATACGTCACATTAAAAATCCAAAATATTAATCTGAAACAATTAAGTCACATTAAAAACAACTCAAGAACACAGCTGGGAAAAGAGATACGCATTCAGATCATAGAAAAAATACCCTAAATAGGTACTGCATAGTGATTTCTTATGTGAAACAGCTGATTTTCTAAATGTTCAGAGTATAAACTAAATTCCATGATAAAATACAACTATTAAGACTTATAAGTGAGAATATTATTTAAAGCAAGATGCCTGATATTTTTCATCATTTTTACTCAAAATGTCCCTTTTCAACAATGTGACAAGTTTATACCTTTTCCCCCATTCTTTTTTCCCCTACCACACTCACTACATATTTAAATGGAAAGAAAAAAAGACATTTACCTCACCAAATGGAGTGTAAAACTGCACAGTGTTTACATCTTTATCCTGAGTGACAACCTTCTGGGAGCCTGCCACAGCCAACACGCTGCCAGTGTGGTTCCACTGGATACTTACTACAAACATGCCAGTATCAATTAAAACGGGATCTACTCAAAAAGAAAAATGAAGTAACTGTGGTAAAATACTTAGCCTCAAGAACTTTATAAAGAACAATTTTAAAATATTTTTTTTAATTCTCCACATTAAGAAAGAAAGAGAGAAAGAAAAATGACATACTCTGGTCATTCTCATGTCTCATGATTTGGCACCTCCCATTGTCAAAACAAATAGCAAGGCAGGGGCAGTCTGGCTCCACATAGCCTTCTTGGCCATGGTACCAGTGAATTCCAGCAATACTGATTGCTCCGGTGACGTTCACCAAACAGTTCAGTTTCATTTTCATCTAAACAAAATAAGTTAAGTTAATACTTCATATTTTAAAACAGATCCGTATAGACTATTATAGAAAGAACACTGAAAATGAGATTTAAAAATCTGGTTTCAGATGCAAGTTCCATCACTTACTGGTTTACCAGCCCTGGACAAACCACTTCAAGCAGAGTTTTAGTTTTCTTTATTTGCAAAATAGGGATTAAAAAAAAAAACTCACAGAGAATTTATGAGACTCAAATGACAAGAGGTAAATGAAAGAACCTCAAGAACAGCGGTGTCAAGGAGAAGTCGGCTATTATCACTTACACCGGTTAAGTGCATTTGTATAATGCCCTCAACCTCACTACAAATAAAACTGCCCCATAAGTAAGATCAGAGATCTGACATAGCTCAGTCTCACAAAACTAGAGTTTTCCTTGAGATCATGCTATCTGAGCCTATTCTATTTTGCCTTCTTTCCAGGACCTGACTCTTATCCCTTACTGTTTAAGTCTTCCATTCCTTTTACAATCTTGAGTAACTTGCTATAAAAATATCATTGGAAAAAAAAATATAGCATTGGTATCTCATATAAACTTTGGCTTCTGCTATCAGAAGACACAAAGATTTGGGGTGCCTGCGTGGCTCTGTCAGTTCAGCATTCGATTCTTGATTTTGGCTTAGGCCATGATCTCACGGTTCATGGGTTGGAGCCCTGCGTCTGGCTCTGCATTGACAGCACAGAGCCTGCTTGGGATTCCCTGTCTCCCTCTCTCTCTGCCCCTCCCCTGCTTGTGTTCTCTCTCAAAATAAGTAAATAAACTTTAAAAAGAAGAAGAAGAAGAAGAAGACGACGACGACACAAAGATTAAATTGCATATCATCTCATTATCCCTCAGCTTCAATACACTGAAATCTTGTCCTTCCCAGTTACCAGGAATTCAGAACTAAAAGTATTAATTTACCTTGAAGAGACCCAGTATTTTTTTTAATTAAAAAAATCTAAATAATTGGGAAAAAACATGAATTGAAAACTTTCTTGATTACACAAACCATCATAATAAATAAATGTACATATACATATATAACATATAACATAACCATATAAAGTTGGGTAACTAAAACTACGAATATATATATACTTACTATAAAATTCCCTTGATTATCATAAATGTGTATTTCTCCACTTGTCATTCCAAAAAGTAGGATCTTACTATCTGCAGACCATGCTACATGGCATAACTGTACACCCTTCAAGTCTTTTCCCCAAATGCGATTCCCTAAAGTAAAACATAAAACAAAATTATTTCATTAAAAGTTCAAGGTCACGATTCTCCAACAACTGCTCTAAAACTGTGTTTCTCTAAAGAGCTCTCACATTCTTCACAGAACCATGTGTTTGTTCAATTTATTCAGTCAATAAATATCTGCTGAGCACTTACTATGTGCCAAACACCCTACTAAATATTTGCAATAGCAGCTGTTTCCAACTTTCTCCCTTCTCTTCAAAACTCTGACCCAAGACCTCACTCCCAATTAGCAGATAAATTCATCTTCAACTTTGTAAAATTAAATAAACGCTTTCAAAGAAGAAATCCCTCATTCCCACTTTCAAACACTCAGAACATTAAGTGAATCCACACCGACCCTTTCTGCTTAGCCCCCCCATTACAAAGGAAGAGTTTTGTCCCCAGCCAGACACCCATCTAGGGCTAATCCCTCCACCTATTTTTTGGTCTAAGCCCTTCCCAGCTTTGCAAAGATCTCCCTCTACTGATTATGCACATTTTCTCTTTCTCTTTAAACTCTTCTAAGCCCTTCCTTACAAGTATTTAAACATACTCAGATCCATCCTTGAAAACCAGCACCTCAAATAAAAACAAACAAAACAAAGAACACCTCCCTCTACCCCAAGTTCCCCTCTAGTCACCATCCTATTTCCACCATTCCTCTACCAGCCTCACTTCTTAAAAGAGCTTATGCAGGCACTTCCTCCCCTCCCATTCAACCCTCAGTCCAACCTGATCTGGCTTCTGCCCCACACCTGCACTGAAATGGCCTTCATGAGGTTGTTAATGACCTGTTGCTTTTCTTTTCTTTTCTTTTCTTTTCTTTTTTTTTTAACCACCCCTTCCTTCCTTCTTGGTTTCTGTGAATCTGTTTACTCCTTTATCTCCAATGCTTGTAATTCAGTATCCTTTACAGAATTCTCTTCTGCCAACCCATTAAATGTTGCAGGTTCTTATTCCAAGATGGCCCAGTTTTCCAGCTATTCCAATGGTTTAAATTACCATCTACATGCTGGTGATTCCCAAAATTATGACTCCAGTCCAGATGTTTCTGAGCCACAAATGTATATATCTAACTACTTGGCTGTCCTACAGCATAACAAAGTCAACATGTCCATAACTGAAATCTTCCTTCAAAACCAGTCTTTCTCCCACATCCCTTATTTCAATGGCATCACCATCCACCCAGCTGTCAAAGTTAAAAACCTGGCTATTCCTCTGGACACTTCCATCCCCTCAGCCCCAAACTCATCAATAATGAGACCCCATCTATTTTACCTCCTAAATATCTCTAGCATATGTCCACTTACTTCCATCCTCTTTGTCATTTCCCTGGTTCAGCTACCATCCACCATCACCTCTCACCTGAATTACCAATATCAATTTCCTAAGTGGTACACCTGCCCCATCTTTCTTTCCTTCCTCTGCAATCACAGAGATGCTTCCAAAGAACAAACCTGATCACCCTGCTCCCATTCTTAAAACCTTTCATTATGCCCTTAATGTTAAGTTCAAACTTCTTAGATAACTTACAATCTACATGATCTGTCTTCACTAATGTCTCTAATTTCATCACATACAACTCTTTTCCTTTTAGTATTATAGTACACTGACTCTCAATTTTTTTCAATACCCTAAACATGGCTAAGTTCAACCCCTATGGACCTCCTCCCTATGGCCTTCCTTAGGCCTAGGACATTCTACAAACCCACATTCCTGGTGGCTAATGCCTCAGCAGACATCACTTCCTCCAGGATGCCTTCCCTGATCCCTCCAAGTCTGGCTTAGATACTTCTACTACATGTTTGCTGTATTTTCCCATCTCAGCACTTATCACAAGGCACTGTAACTGCTTGGTTACTAATCCACCTCTCCTGCTCTAGATCTGAAATACTTTTTATATACCTAGTGCCTAGAACTACAGCTGTCACTTTATGAATTCTCAGAAACATTTGGGGAATAAATGAAGTTACAACAGAAAAAAAAAAAAACAAATGGAAAAATGAAAATCATTTTGAAATAAATTATTTCTCTATAGAGAAAATTTCACATTAAAACAAAGGTACAGACCCTCGGAAGCCCCAGTGTTAGCTATGAATTAAAATTTGAAAGACCTAAGTTTTAAAGCTACAAAACACACATAGCAATAACAGATTCAGTTCTATTAAAAAATGACCAGATGAGGGGCGCCTGGGTGGCTCAGTCGGTTAAGCATCCGACTTCAGCTCAGGTCATGATCTCACGGTCCGTGGGTTCGAGCCCCGCGTCGGGCTCTGTGCTGACAGCTCAGAGCCTGGAGCCCATTTCAGATTCTGTGTCTCCCTCTCTCTCTGCCCCTCCCCTGTTCATGCTCTGTCTCTGTCTCAAAAATAAATAAACGTTAAAAAAAATTTAAAAAAAAAAATGACCAGATGATCATTTCGCGACATATAAAAATATCAAATGATTATGCTGTACACCTAAAACTAATGTTATATGTCAATTATACTTAACAGTTCAATTTTTTCAAAATAACCATAGATTGTTATATCTCTATATACTTGAAAGTAAATCTATGTATTTATAATACAGTCTAATACATACAAAATAAGTTACATAATTAGGCAGACATATTTAAAATAATCCTGAAAAATTAATTTACCTTTTTTCTGTGTCACTGTAGGAAATTTGTTAAAAATAGAATTTTTACTTGGAACACCTGGGTGGCTCAGTCAGCTAAACATCCAACTTTTTTTTTTAATTGTTTTTTAATGTTTATTTATTTTTGAGAGAGATAGACACAGTGCGAGCAAGGGAGGGGCAGAAAAAGAGGGAGAGACAGAATCTGAAGCAGGCTCCAGGCTCTGAGCTGTCAGCAAACAGCCGACACAGGGCTCAAACCCACAAACCATGAGATCATGACCTGAACCAAAGCCGGACCATTATTAACGGACTGAGTCACACAGGTACCCCAGCATCCAACTCTTAATTTCGACTCAGGTCATGATCTCATAGTGCATGAGATCAAGCGGCACCCCCCACCCCTGCATCAGGCCCTGTGCAGACAGCACGAGCCTACTTAGGATTCTCTCCCTCCATCTCTTTCTGCCCCACTCCCGGCGTGCATGCATTCTCTCTCTCAAAATAAACAAATAAAACATTAAAAAAATAATAAAAATAAAATAAAAAATGGGTTTTTTTACTTGAGTATACTTAAAAGTAAATGTTTCTTGAATGTTATTAAATTGTATATCAACCATTTTCTCTGTGTTTTTCTGTCAGAAGACTAACATATGATAATTAATTAAACCTCTAAAGATAAAAATGCCAGCCAAATCCTGATCTCAGTTCTGTGTGCAACAAAGTATTACCATCCACCGAACCAACTATCACAGCCCCGTCTTCATACACAATGCAGATCTTCTGTCCGTCAGCATTCCAGCTCATACTTCGAACCACTGATTTATTTCTGTTGTTGATCATCTCCTCGTACCAAGAGCCTATTTGCACACACACACACACAAAAATTACAAGTCAAAACTTTCACATTAGAGTTGAAAACATTCCACAAAATACACTGTGGGATAAATGAGTGCAAAATTTTCTACAACATGAGACGTTAAACAATAAAACCTTCAGGGGCGCCTGGGTGGCGCAGTCGGTTAAGCGTCCGACTTCAGCCAGGTCACGATCTCGCGCTCCGTGAGTTCGAGCCCCACGTCGGGCTCTGGGCTGATGGCTCAGAGCCTGGAGCCTGTTTCCAATTCTGTGTCTCCCTCTCTCTCTGCCCCTCCCCCGTTCATGCTCTGTCTCTCTCTGTCCCAAAAATAAATAAACGTTGAAAAAAAAATATTAAAAAAAAATAAAACCTTCAAATCCAACATAAACAAACAAAAAAAAAATTAGCTGAGGCCTTCACCAACAATTGCTTCAAAGATTATCACAGAAAACACAATAAATGCCCATCTTTTCTCTCTTTCTTCCTTTCTGTCCATTAAAAAATAAAACTCGGGCCGCCTGGGTGGCTCAGTCAGCTGACCATCCGACTTTGGCTCGGGTCATGATCTCACGGTTCGCGGGTTCAAGACCCGAATCGGGCTCTGTGCTGGCAGCTCAGAGCCTGGAGCCTGCTTCAGATTCTGTGTCTCCCTCTCTCTTCCCCTCCCCTGCTCATACTCTGTCTCTCTCTCAAAAATAAATAAACATTTAAAAAAATTTTTTTTAAATAAATAAAACTTTATTTGCTTTTGAAGGGCCAAAACAACTGACTTCTCTCAAAGCCTAACTTTTCCCACTTGAAAAACTTCAGATGATAACCAAAGAAAAAAACAAAATAACCACAATAATTTTATATGTATGCATAAACTCTCCAGTGATTAATTACAAGTATATTGAATATCAGCATATTAGGTAAAAACTCTAAGCCTGCTTGACAAAAATTTTCTACAGTTCAAATCACTTTAGTGATTTCACATCACTAATGCTGAAAGACAAAACATTCATGTACACAGGGCTGGGGTGACAGGTCTCAAGGTACAACCAAATGTGAGGCAAAACACAAGGCCATTTTGGTATCAGAACTCTGGCCTGCAGCCAAGCAAATAACCACGTAATTCAGAAGAACTAGTCGAGCAGGCATTATCAGAGTCTGAACTCAGGACCTGAGAAGACCCACAGAGGAAAAATACAGCTTATCTTCATCTCCTATACTCTCACCTTCCATCCCTACACACACACATACACACATAAACCTTGAGAAACATAAATAAAACTCAGGTACCAAATTTTTCAATTAAGAATTTTTAAATGGTATACCCTGAATGTTTTCAAAACATCACACATGAACTAAGGTACTCTTCTCATTTAAATATGAGACCCCAAGAGATCATGTATTGTGAGTTATTTTTCTGATAATAGTGATGTGCCTAAATTAATCCTTCCCTCGCTCTGTCTTGTAGGCAAAAGGCACAAATCATGAGCCAGTAGAGCAGAGATAAAATCTGTATCCATGAAAGAAAGGATGCTAAATGGCTCAATAAGGGGAATGAATTATTGCCTCTGAATTCTTAATGTTTTTATGTACTGGACCAACTCTAGCCACTGATCACACAGAAAATAATTCTTATCGGAAACCTGGCAAAAAAAGATCTCAAGTAGAAACTATCCAACTAAGGGCGTAAATTCATTGTGGAGATAACCAACAGTCATCTAATTCACTTTCTTCATGCAAGGTCACAGCTCAAAAAAAAAAAACAAACAAACAAACAAAAAAAAAAAACAAAGTTAAAAGGAAAAGTAGGCAGCAATAAATCCAGAAATATTACCCCTGTGAGGTCAGGATGAATTCCTGCTGCTGGTTAAAAGGAGTCTATTTCAAATATATTGTTTCCTCATTCAAATACTGTAATCCGGACTCTAATCTGTGAAAGATTACATAAACTCTCCTAGTGTACCTTTATATAACATCCAAACAATGATAAGCCCATTTTGATCACTGGTAGTCAACTTCTGATATTGTTCATTCCATGTTACAACTTGAACCGAACCTAAAAAACCATAAAACAATTCAGAAACTAAAAAAAGGCTACAATTTCAAATTTGTATTTTTATAATAAACACCAACAGCATGTTAAAATCAATATGGCTCCTGTGCAACTAAACAGGATTTAATATCATTCCAAAATATTCACAGGATGCAGTCACTATTATCACTCATTTTCTACAACAATGTGTGATACTAATTTTCATGTTTATTCCTATTTCAGGACAGCAAAGGCACCTATTATGGTCAAATGCAAAAGCTGCCATATATCTGATGACAGAAACAAATATAAGTAAGATTTACCCAACTGGCTGATTCCCAAGGATTATAATTCCCAAAGGACAATATACTACGAACTTGGGGTTTCTTTCCAGGGGTGTAGAGGTTGTCTGTGGTTGATATATGCCCTAATATCTCTTCTTTCCCCCTCTTGTTTTCCATTATATTAGTAACACACTCTTGAACATATCTTAAGCCTCTGGGTTATATGAACAACTGATTCTTTTAGTTTTTTTAATCTCTAAATGCTTTAGTGTATATTTCATAAGACATTCTCTTTCATAACCATATTACAAATTAGGAAATTTAACACTGATATAATATTACCTAACCCTGGTCTACATTCAAATTTTATCAACTGTCCAAATATTGTCCTTTATAGATACTTGTTTTTCTCATTCCAAGATCTAGGATCATAGAATACATTCAGTTGTCGTGTCTCTTTAGTCTACTTTAATCTGGAAACATGGGATAGATTCTAAAAAAGGATTATGTCCTACCCATAGACAGCAGTATCTTTTAATATATAAAAGAACTACTCAGTTTTAGATTTATCGAAGATGTTGTTTGATCATGTAAAAGTTGTTGAAGGACTCTAAGCTCAATTAACTATGGCTAAACAGAAATGATTACTTTAAATATTATCATTATAAAAAATGATATCATTTCTGCAATAAGTAGATGGTTTCTCAATGTCTAAAAATAAGACCATTCAAATAGGATTTTAAAAATTACATGACTCACCACTATGACCTTCTAGATTCTGATTCATAGAAAGGTTACTAGGGACTGCAAGACCTCTCAATTTTGCATCATCTAGGAAAAAAAGACATCATGGCAAATACATTAAAGTAATAATTATATGACTTTGACATTTCTTCCTGGATGATTTTAGAAAAAATTTTTTAAGAATGCCTCATTCTGATCTATTTTTCTCATGGTGGAAATATGGACAGTAATATATACCCCCTTGCAGAGATATTATTCTGACAAAATAAAGCAAAATGTATTTTAAAAACATTGTTTACCCAGTATATGAAATATACTGGTAATTATTATTACTGCTATTCCTTCCCAGAAGATCACAAACAGAAATATTTACGATATATAGAATGAAAGCTCTAAAGCATAAGAGGGCTCAGAAAGTAAAGACTTTGGAAACTGGTTTTTACTACATTTTGCAGAATCTTATATGCATTCATTCATTCATTCATTTATTCATTCAATGAATGTCTACATTGTGTTACGCACTGTGGAAGCTTCCGAATATAAAATGATAAAATAGTTAAGGCCTCTCCCCTAAGAGAGTTTGTAGTCTACTGAAGGGACAGATATTAAACACACACTCACCCACCCACATAAATATATATGCATATATGTAAAGTCATAAATTGAGAAAATAAAGCCATAAGAAGAGACAGTAACAGAGGGAGACTGACTTAGATTGGAGGAAGGGAGAGCCAGGGAAGGCTTTCTGAAGAAAGGAGGAGGAGGAGTCCAGACTCAGAAATACCAAGTACAAAGACCCCACGGGTCAAGTGTAGAAGCTCTGAATCCAAAATGTAATTTGCTTCAGCCCTTTATCTTACAGAAGAGTGAACTAAAGCCCAAAGATAAACACCAACTTGCTGAAATTCTTTCAGTATGGCAGAGCTGAGGTTCCAACTCCAATCACCTTACCTACATCTCCAACTTAGATCAGGGGACTGTCTAGCTCTCCATTCTACAGCAACGCTAGGGATGCTAAAGAAATGTGAAGCTGCTATGATTCCAGAGAACTAAAAAAAGACAAATCAAGCTGTAAACACAAGGAACTTATAAACAAAAATGTTTTTAAACATCTCATTTTCTGTTCTCCGGAACTAGGTGAATGATTATTAACATATCTGATAAGCAGAAAAGATGACACCAGCCTGCAACTGTGACAAAACGTGAGATTTTGTGACCTTATTAAAACTCAAATTGTCATTTTTCTTAAACTCTAAATAATAGAGCAGAATAAATAGACATAGCACAAGGCAATGTAGTGACTTAGTTTGCATTCTTCATTCTTTTTCATTTTCCATCAATAACTTGAGTAAAAGCCATCTGATATTTACATTCGATGTTCTCTGAACTTTACTGCAAAAATACTCTATAAAAACAGCACTGAATGTTTGGAGTCTTGTTTGTTTTTCATTTTAAAAGAATTAGAACTGCATAGTGACAAATACCAAGAGCAAATCTCACCGAACAAATGATACTAGGCAATTTTCCATCTAGTTCAAACACTTAGGCTTGCTTTCATTTACCTGTCTGTGTCTCTAATTTCAAAACTTTCAGTAATCCGTCTTCACCACCACATGCTATGAATCCTTGGTCCTTGTTCCAAGATACACATTTCAGCTTTACGTTATCGGGAATGGCGACCTGAAAAACAACCACAGCCACTCTCACAGCTTTTCATGGAGGAGTTGGAAAGTGAGTTACAGATGCAGGCTGAAGAAGTCCCCCCAAGAAATAAAAAATGGTCAGCCTTGCAGAGAGTGTACTGTTAGGAAAATGGGCATGGCACGATCCCCTGAACTGCCCCGCGCCCTACCATTTTCGAAAGGACGGCGGGGGGAGAGGGAAGCACACAAGAAAGGCACTGACTGCAGAGGAACCCAATGGGAGAGTCACCTGAGAAATTTTAAAGGAAGGAAACGGGGAAAAGAGGTATAAATCCATACCATTGATCCATATTCCCTTTCCACACATAACACTTAGGATACCCTTTTGTTATTACTTTTCTCTCGCCCGCCAGCCCATGACGATCCAGTGAATTGAAGTCACCTGGATCAACAGGTGGAGAAGGAGCGGTAGGGAAGCACGCAGTGATCTGTCCTGCTGAGGTCCCCAAAAAGACCCAGGCAGGGGGCAGGAATGGGAGAGAGTCGTGCGAAAGGGCTGTTGGCTCCGCCGAGAATTATCTGGGACTCGGGACCCGAAGGAGGAGGTCCGAGGCTGGACGAGGCAGGAAGGTGCGAGGTGGGAAGGCGAAGGATGCGGGACAGGATGCGGGATTCGCCTGCAGGACGCGGGAACAGAGGAGCTAGGGCGTCAGCGGGAAAACTCACTTTCTTGCTCAGGTAAAAGAACATCCTGGGAACCCCGAGAAGACGACCCCAGCCGTCCAGGCCCGCCAAAGGAAACCTTTTTCTAAGTCTCCAGTCGCGAGTACCAGAACCTCTTGGAAGCGCCTGTCGCCCTGGCAACCACCGCCGCCCAGGCGCATCCGGGGCGCTGAGAGACACTTCCGGCGGCGGCGTCGCACCGCCCGGCGTCTTGCGCCTGCGCGGAGATCGGGGTGTTGGAGTAGCAGCAGACAGCAGACGGCACTTGTGGTTGGGGCTGGTTGCTTTGTTTCTGGGCCTTTTTGCCCTACGCCTGGGGGGCCAACACGGTGTCCCTCAGCGCCTTGCTTTCACCTCAGCTGTCTTCTTTTCGAGCGGCTCGAAGAGCAGGCTAAACCTCAGTAGGTCGCGGTGGAACTTGCCTGGGGTGTTAAAATCAACTCAAGCAAAGGCACCTGAGGTCACGGTGATTGGGGATTTTGTAAGCCCCAGAGACCCAGCATTGTGGAGTCATTTACTGTGTTTGGCCGGCTGGCGCCGTTGGCCACAAGGAAGCGCCAACGTACATTTTTGAAGTCTGTAAACCTTCCCTTATTCCTGAGGATTGGAGAACCCTCTGGAGCAGTTTTTAGGAGATTGCGTTTATTCTGTTTGTTTTAGAACTTTTTAACAGCTTATTTCAGGTGTTACTGCAGCCCAATGGTACATGTCAAGGAGTATATATATGAGCTTTGGGCCATTGCAGCATGTAATTGCCATTTGGGCATAGCCTTCCGTTTTTGAATAATTAAAGTTGGTGTTTGATCCCTGGCCTGAGAACAACTATTCTGTATTCTCTTCTTTTTCTACCTTAATTCTTTAATCTCCCTTGTCCTTTTTGAATGCTTGGAGAGTTACAAAGCACAGCAATTTGGGCACGGGGTAGAAAATCCCACGAAATTACTTAGTCTAACCCATTTTCTAATTTATATCTGATTTTTCCTTTTACCATATTCTGCGGCCACTGCTGTTGAGTTGTATAATCTAGAATGTACCTTATGCAGCAGCAGCAGTAGCTGCAGCAGCTAATTTCCCCATCTAGTCTTTCCCAATTTCAGGCAAATAATGTTCAGATCCTTTGAAGGGAGTCTGTTGCCTCACCCAGCACATTCAAGAATTGACAATGGTCCCAGTGCCTTTCCTATCAAATCTAAATCCCAGCTAAAATTAGATTTTCCTTGGATACCGAAATGTCTACTATCGTGCCCCCATTCTAAGCAAGTCCATATGCTTTCTGCCTCCAAGGCCATCTTATATATCCCCTGATGTTCCTGTCCTCTCTGCCAATTGTGCCTAGCCGAATGTACAAATCAGGTCTCCCTGAGAAACTCTTTCCAAACGTAACCCCCATCCCATTCAGAGAATATATTTGCTTTCAAATGTGTGTATCTGTTTTTTCAGCATCAAGCTGAATTCTGAAGATATGTTGGCACCTGTGCACAAGCTCCCTATACTGGACTCATGAAACAAACCAGAACTGTCTAAGTCACGGGATTCCAATCAACTGGTCAAGTTTAAGAGATGGTAAATTGAAACTGGTTGTTGGTGGTCACACTCGAAAAATCATCTCTTTAAATACCTTCCCCTAGTGCTTGCACGTGACTTCTCATTTATTCCTTCTATAGCATCTTTTCTCTATGATATATTAATAGATATTACGGATTCTGTGTTGAAATAAGTTTGGAAAATAATACTGCTCTAAGTCATCTCCTTTCAAAAATGTTGAGAAATAACCATGTATGTTTCATATATTGTATACTGCCTTGATGTATTTATTTTTCATTTATTCCTTTTAAAGTTTCTGTTTTAGATTTTTGACTGATTTTGGGCTTACATCTGTAGGTGATATTTATTTTTCAGGTGCTTATGTTAATATACCTTCATTATTTTATCCAAATTTAGATAATTTTGTTCTATTCCCTCTCCCAAAATATTCTCAATTAAAGCTTATTTAACCTGAATTTACGTTTTTAACCTTAAAAGTTATGAGATTATAGGAAGAGTTACCACATTGTGTCCTTTGATAAGAAACTGTTATATAATTGTTAATTCAGTGTAATTTAAGGAAATATGTTAATAGACAAAATTGATATGGGTTGCCAGAAAAAGTCATGACAATAATATGTAAAGATATTAACATTTTATTATACTAAAGACAATACAAACCAAAAAAAAAAATTCAGTAATACACAATTTAAAGGACTGTTTCTCTAAAAACTATAAGCTTTCAAGCTGAAAAATAAAATACATATATCAAATGTATAAGTGAAGAATGGTTACGCTTATCACTAAAATTTAAAAAGACAACATTACTTTTGTTACTTGTTAGAGTGACATTTATAAAAATATAATTTTATTGATTGGATCCTAAGGTAAAACAGTAAAGATAAAGTAGGATAGTTTTTCCTTGGTATAAAGTTATAACACTCTTAATTCAAAACTAAAATCTTTAGTTACATGTTTTTTATAATGTTTCATGTAATGTTCACTTGATCTATTTTTAGAGATATGTATTACAATCCCCTGATCACAGCTTCAGTAATACTCTAGCAAAAAAAAAAAGCAAAAAATGAATTGTTAAACAGTGCTAAATTATATTCACCTCAATTTAGTTATATGAACTTTTTTATGTGTAAATACTCCATACAATTTACACTCTGAGTAGTAAGTCTGGTTTATACTATAAATACTATCAAGAGAAAATAGGTCAAAAGTTCCCATTGTAAGTATGGTTATCTTACTAAAATAAACATTTAAAAATTAAATGGCTCAATTGGTAAATAAAGAAATATTAAACTTTTCATTCTATTTCCTACCAATCATTTCACAGTCATAGCTTAGAGACACTAAAGTTTGCTCTTAAGGATGTGAATGTTTATTTCCTTTAAAAAATGACACTGATTCTCTAGAAGATCCTCATACTGTTTATCCAGTAATATTCAGGCAATTGCAAGGGCAGATATTAGCAGGAACATGGAAGTATGCAAAAGTATCAAACACACCAAGCTCTCCGTATTTCCAGGTGAAAATTTTGAGTAATTTAATGATGTATTTGTCCAGATTCATTTTCTTGCAGCTTCCCTAAAATGTCATCAAGTGACTGGTTGTTAAGGCCAATGTCTTTTTTTTTTAATGTTTTTTATTTATTTTTGAGAGAGAGAGAGACAGAGCATGAGCAGGGGAGGGACACAGAGAGAGGGAGACACAGGATCCGAAGCAGGCTCTGGGCTCTGAGCTGTCAGCACAGAGCCCAACATAGGGCTTGAACCCACAAACCATGAGATCGTGACCTGAGCTGAAGTCTGACGTTCAACCAACTGAGCCAAGGTACCCTTATTTTTAAACATGAGAAAACAGAAACACAGTTTCATACACTTAAATACAAGATAAATGAAAATAATTACATTCTATTGTAAATAAAGAAGAAAAAGAGTGAAATTATTTTCTCAGCAAAATCTAATTTAACCTAAAACTCCTAAGTTCTGTTCGTTAGAGTCCTGTTACAAAGCAGTGGTCTTCAGAGATGATACAGAGCCCTTGTCTTCAAACTTTTTGCTCCGATCCCCTAAAATAATTTTGACAAATAAATGCTGCCTTGTGCATATTTAAATTAGATGAAAATTTTCATCATAAATTTTAGTTACAAAATATGTAATTTCTGCCATTTTAAAAATGCTGATTTTTTAAAATAAAATCTAAATTAGTTTTCCAAATGTCCTATGTAATATTAATACCACACTGAATCAATACCTACTATCATTCTTCCAAAATAAAATATTTAAAATAAAGGAATTTGTATTTCCTTGACTTTATATTTACTTTCTCCTTTCTCCACAGAATTTTATTCTACTTTGAATCTTGGAAATCTTTTCTTGATCTCTATTAACACTTCTTTGAAATAAACTTAACACAAACAACAGGCACATAAACATTGATATTGAAATTACCTTTAAATTAATTTTCTTTGACCATAAGGCCTCCAGTATTTTTAATCATCTGGATTGAGTTATCATTACAACTAATATGAGCATGTAATTGATCAAACAACAAATTACAAATTTTGGCATAAAATTACTAAAAATGAAAGATGAAAGGCAAACTTTAATTGGAAAAGTATCTCTTAATGGAATAAATTGGGGCAGTGGTGTTTATGAGGCCTTGATTTAAAAACTGTTGAACCATCCATCCCTTTGTTGGTTCTCTGGAGATTTTACTTTTCCAAGAAGTTCACCTTAGAAGATTGAGGCTGGTAGAAGATCGAGGCTGCCTTCCTGGTGTAAAGTCAGGAGAACAGCAATGTGAAGTGAGAAATGGGAACAGAGAATGCCAACTGAGTCCCTGTAGCATTTTAGGCAGGTCAACTTAAGGATTTGCAAATGAATTTGGTACAACTTTCTGTGCACCACCCCCATGTCCCTATCACCATCTGAATACCATTCCTCTAAGATCCCTAGAGACAGTGTTGTTAACTTGAGCTGTCTAAGAAAAAGGACTTTTCCTGAATTACTCCTTTGGTTAAAGAACTGATTTTTAGGGGTGCCTGGGTGGCTCAGTCGGTTGAGCGTCCGACTTCAGCTCAGGTCATGATCTCAAGGTTTGTGAGTTCAAGCCCCGTGTTGGGCTCTGTGCTGACAGCTCAGAGCCTGGGGCCTGCTTTGGATTCTGTGTCTCCCTCTCTCTCTGCCCCTCCCCCATTCATGCTCTGTCTCTCTCTGTCCCAAAAATAAATAAACATTGAAAAAAAATTTTTTTTAATAAATAAATATTTAAAAAAATTAAAAATAAAATAACTGATTTTTATAGTTTCTTAGATGGTACATTTTGAAATCTTACACATTTCTTACATGTTACATTTTGAAATCTGCTTTTGACCACTTGGCTAGCCAGTATATGTGCTGTCTGAGCTATTGCCTCACTAGTCAGCTAACTCATTCTGTACATGCACAGATTCTGAACTGAGCCATATTAAGGGATCCTAGCATAATAGCTCCATCTGTTAATAAGAACTCAATTAGCATATACTACTGGAAAAGCACTAGAGAAACAAATAGGCAGCTTTTAACATGTAAATACTAACTGGGCAAAACAGTCTATTAAAATATTTTAAAAGAACTCTAAAAAAATA